GCGCCAAATGATATTTTTTACGTCAAACTAAAAAAGGGCTGGTCAACTTTGGCGCAAAGTAGCCAATCATGCAACGCTGGAAGGAATACTAAATAAAGCTGGAGTTGGGACTGAAAAAGATTATAGACCCAAATGCAGGAAAAGGAGAGAAAGGACAAAAGATAAAGAAGTGAGGAAGGTTGGAAAATTAAGGGTCCATATTTGCTTAATAGAAAGTCTATTTAACCTTTCTCACTACTTTTTATCTTTTGGCCTTTCTCCACTTTCCCCAAATTTGAGTCTATAATTCTTTGAGTCACAACTCCAACTTTATTTAGTATTTCTTTCTTTCACACTTTTCAAGTATTTGAAAATATTTCCTTTCCACTCAAAAATAAAATATGTATACAGGTTTATGACTTTGTGAAACTTCTTTTATTGAGTTTATGCCGTTGAAATAAATAAATAAAACAAAATAAAAAAATTTGTTGGTTTTGTTTACATGTTTATTGGGCCGCATTTGAACTTGCCTTGGGCTGCATGCGGGCTGCGGGTTGGACACCCCTGGTTTAGATTTTATATTATGAATATAATAGAAGAAGAAGCAGTAGAAACGATGAACAGATGGATTTTACAAAACAAATTAGAACTAGGGTTGTTTGAAGGAAACACCTTGTATTTGTATTTTGCTTATTTATAGTTATGGATGTTTAATAATCTATGATATAAATAAAATACTTACATTGGCAAGATCAATGATAGTCTTAAGCATTTTCATAGCTTTGTAAATTTAAATTTATTTAAATATCACACAAAGATTTCTTTTCCACTTATAACAATTTAAAGAAAAATAAATATTGACATATAAAATAGTATTACATATCATATAATCATTTCTTGTTGCAAATCAGATGTACATTGAATATAGTTTGTTAAGGATCATTTATTGTAGGCATGCCATATAATATATAATTATTTAGTTTAATTAGAAAGGAATAATTTGTATCTATGGCAATATTATATAAGACTTTTAATATTTGAAATGTACAAATTTTTAAAATTTTGTATAATAAGTTATTAATAAGTTATTTTTTGATATTTTACAGCAAAGTAATGCAGGTAATGATCCATCACATACTCAGAGATGGAAAACTTTGGCTATTGTAAGAGGTACATTTGGCCCCGAAGACTGTTATAGTGATGTTGCAGAGTTAAAATTCGAATGTCCAGTTGCCATTAAGGTATTAATATATTTTAAATATTCATATTCATAAATTTTAACAACAGGAAAATAATTATTAATGTACAGTAATAATTGTTGATTGATTTAAAAAAAATAATAATAAATAAGTTAGATATTTTAAGAATAACAATTTATTAAAGGAAGTGAAGTTAATTAATGTATCTCAAATACTTACTCATTATATTGTAGTTTAATAATACAGTAGACCCCCCTATAACATGGTAGATATGTTCCGTTTTATATGAATTCCGTGTTTTACGAGTCACTTAAATACATGAGCCAATCACAGCCCAGCACATGTGCAGTTTATGGACTATGGCTGTTTAAAAGATTTTCTTCCATAAAACTAATCGATTCTAGACTAATTTGACTCAACATTTCAAAAACACATAATTTTTTGAGAATAATCCATATAAACTATGCTATAAACAAAATATTGTAGGAATACTTACCGAGTGTGCATTGTTTGACGACACTATTGCTTAAGCTTGTTTTCGTCGTGGAGCAGCGCATCAAACGGCAGGTGCGTGTTTCCTGATAAGTCATTTTTCTGTGAAAATTTCACTGAACTTTGGAGACATCATTAATATAAATATAATTTTTATGGCCATTAAATAATAAATGGTTTTTATTAGGTTCGCTGCTCGTTTAAACTCAATGGTTTGTGCAATATCTGCTATTGGTCTAGATTTGACCAATCCCGTTGCAACACAAGTCGGTGATGGTGTTTTACTGTATTATATGAGTCTCTTTTAGCGTGTTTAAATGAATACGATCGTAATTTTTTTGCCGTGTTATATAAATCCGTATTATATGAACCCGTGTTATAGGNAAAAATTACTTGTTTTTTAAGATGTTCATTAAAGCGCCAGTCTATGGACCAGTGCCATATTATTTCTTAAGAATTATTTCTTAAATCAGTGTTTTTCACTGATTTAAGAAATAATTCTTAAATGTACTTACATTTCATAATATTTAAGAAACTAACAGGATCATAAAATATCTGTATATTCATTATTTTGAGTTATTGCATTTATGGAAACAAATTGCATCATAATTCATGATTGAATATGAGGATTGTGCAGGAAATAGTGCAATAAGTTTTTTCTTATTTACTATTTCTCAGAATTTCAAGCATGCCACATTGTTATTGGTGCCATTGGTTGCCACAAACTATATTCAATGTAGTCTCTATTCAAGTTATGACCTTATGTCTCAAATGTGAGAGACTGTATTGCTTTCTGAAACCATTTCGTGTGTCATAATTACCTCTTAGAAGATTGTCCTCAGGCTTCTTGCTATGAATTGCCATCTTTATCATCTTGCTAAAGAACTAAAAAGTCAGAATAGGCATTATATCAGCTGTAAGAGAGATGAGCAGAGTGGTATATTGACTTGGGAATGCATTGAATTTAGATTTGCATTATTACAATAAAGGAAAATTTTTGTTACATCTTCGTAGGGACACACCTGCTTAATATGTTTTATCAGCTTTTATTGATCTCTGTTTAGAGTCCACTTTTAAAATTCACTACGTCATTGTTATCTAAAAGAAAATATCTTTCAAAATTAATGCTACCATTTTAAATTACTGTAATTATGTTAATTATAATCTGAGAGATACAGTAGACTCCCTATAACACTGTATATAATTCTGTTTATATGAATTCCATGTTGTACGAGTCATTTAGATTTTACAAATACATGTGCTGGGCTGTGAACAGCTCACGTATTTGTAAAATCTAAGCGACTTGTACAACATGGAATTCACATAACACGGAATTATCTACAGAGTTATAGGGGGGGTTTACTGTATGTGACATACATCAGTCAATAGAGTAATGGTCCATATTTCATTTCCCATCTGCATTTAAGTGTCTTATTGTCTTAAATTATATAAAGCTTGTTGTCCACTAACTAGGAAGTGCTGTAAACAAAAATGGATATTGAACTATAAAGATAGTGTTTTGTGTTCTGCAGTTTGCAAAGTCGGAATCACTTTTCATTGTGCAAAATGAGTAATCTGCAGGAAGTATAGAATTGCAACTGCTGCAGGAGGAGTGACAACAGACTGTAGTGTGCATAGGAAAAATTTGAGTGTCTGCTATGTNTTAAATTAATGTTATTACATTATATAAAAACCAATCTAGATGTATTGTTTTATACATCATTTTATTGATGTTTTTCTTGTGTTATTTGTGGAATACATGCAACAATGTAATTTATGAAATAAATGCAAGAAAAAGAAATAAATAAAGTAACTACAGCGTAATTTTTATGTCAAAAAATAAATACGCAGTGCTTATACATTTCTTCCTTTTTTATAATATATACCTATAGAAACACTCATTTATTTTCTAACACAGAATTGAATAATAAAAAATTAAATTAATTTTTTAAAGTCATTTTATGTTATTAATGATAAATTTTAAATGAATAATACATTAAATTAAATAATTTTATAAGTTTTATATTTTTTCCATCAGATGGCGCCAAAATAATAGATAACACTGGGATGCACGTGTTCAGATACATCAAAATATAATTTTTTTACCACCATTAAAGCATGTAAATGTTCTTAAATCTGATTTTAAAAGAAAGATATTTTTGTTGGCTTCATACTAATTAAACTTTAAAATTTAATGAACTTTACAGAATTTTCTAAATATAAAATAATTTGTAATACGTTGAAAATTAATCATTAAAACGTTTTAGAATACAAGGAAAAAAAGTCTGAAGACTGGAAAAAATATGATAAGAACAGTTCTTGAAATAGATAGAGAGAGAACTTGATAAATTTGGAAAGTAATCTGCTAAATGAAGATAAGGAAATTTTTCTAGATAGAAGGCAACAAAGCGAAAATACTTTAGTTAAAAACAACAAATTTCTTACATTAATTCGTGAATTTCTTTTTACTTATTATTCCACACGCAAGAAAATTTATTACACTGCCAAAATAAATAAAGATCACGTTATAAGTTACAATAAGTAAAATAAAAATTGTAATTTAAATATTAATATAACATAAACATAATATATTATTAATATAAAATAAACCGACGTGAATGGTTTAAATTATAAAAACTCGAGGTTTTTTATGAGTTTTTTTTTCAACATTTCAAATTAAAATTAGAAGAAAAAAAAAAGTGAATATTTGTAAAAATATAGGTTATTTGAAACAGAAAATTATTATTTTATAGATTTGTATATTTATTATAATATAACGTAAAAAACTCAATAACTTTTCATCATACTGTACAACATATAAGCATATTAATATATGATATATTTAAGAAAAAAGCATAGGGTATATAGAGGTATAGTGGAGAATATATGGCGTATACTGTCCCCTTAATTTAAACTTTGTAAACGTTTCTTAATATTTTTGAATATTTAATGACAAGTGATAAATAATTAATTTTAATAATTACTTTAATATAAACTCAACTTATATACTTGTGCATGTCGTTCCTTACATTATTATCAGTGAGGGATTTCCCATTAGACTCACTAGGCCTAGAATCGGAAGAATTTAGAGCGCAAAAATTCAAAATAATAATAATAATAACAATACTGAAGGAATTAATGCAAATTAAAATCTTACGTAGGGACAAAATAAGATAATTAGTTAAATAGTATTAATAAATGAATATACAATAGTTGATAGCAGGGCCTTGGCTAGAACATTTGACACAGGGCAAATTTAAATATGGTGTCTTTTGTATGAGNCGCTGTCCAACTTATCATAGCCCGCGGGCCATATTTTCTTCATCAAACATTTCGGGGGCTAAGAAGGTTGCTGCTGTATTCAGCCAGGTTAAGTGAAGTTACGCAAACTAAATAGTACCTACTTTAAATTCAAATTAGATTTAAATTTTCACATAGTAAAATAATTTTAATATTAATAATAATAATTTAGTAACATAAATGTATTCATAGTAAAATGTACTTGGGGGCCGTAAAAATTATTTGGCGGGCCGTATACGGCCTGCGGGCCGCCAGTTGGACAGCCCTGCTGTAACTCATTTGCTTTTCGTCGAAAATTTCTGAAATTTTGCAGGGCGGTTTATTTATTAGAGGAATCGAGTAACATAAATGTATTCATAGTAAAATGTACTTGGGGGCCGTAAAAATTATTTGGCGGGCCGTATACAGCCTGCGGGCCGCCAGTTGGACAGCCCTGCTGTATATAATTAATAAGCTGAGTGATTACAATTAACAAAGTTATTAATTTTATGATACAAAAGTAGTTTTCTTATTTTTGTAAATAGAAGCCTAAAGTCTGTCTTCTAATGATAATTAATACATTTAATAGTTAATACATATAAACTTCTTTTGATATTTATTATTAAATTTTTATAAATTTTTTGTTAAAATTGCATTTGAATTGAATTGTCAATTTAGAAATAAATAATTTTTAATTAAAAAAAAATGGACTCGAGTAAATTTTGGATCAAGCCATCCGATTTCTGGATCTGTGGTCTGCCAGAAAGAACACCTTACGACTCCTTGAACTCAGATTAAGTCCATTTATTTGACAACTATTTACAATATATATAAAACAATATTTCTTGCTTGCTTCTAACAACACATTCTTAGTCTAGGCTTGTTTCTCCTGGTTCCAACAGTCATATTGCCTTAAATCTAAGTTTTAGATCTATTGGCTGACCAATCTGGAGCTGAGTTGGTAGCTCTTCTGCAGGTCGGCCTCGTTGGTATACCTGTTCCAACTTGTCCAGGATGACTTGCTAACTGACCTTTTCCAGAAAATGTGTTTCAATGAGTGGAACTTGAATTATATTGTCTTTACTCAATAGGCTTCCTTGACAACTTGGGAATTCAAAAACTGTAAATGATGTTGAATATAAATAAGTATATTTATGTTAAAACTTGTAAGCTAACTATTCTTCATACATTATTTTCATATTGCAAACTTCTTCAAAATGTTGAGAAAGAACGTTTTTTGAATTTTTCAATTCAATTCAATAAACTTTACAATTTTTCAGTTCAGTTTCCTGTTACATGAGTGGTAAGATGCAAAAGTTTACAAACAATTATTAGTTTTTTAGCAGTATTATTTCATCAGTTTCTTGTACATTTTCTAAACATGAGCAGAGCTCTGCATAAGTCAGAAAGTGTTTTGTCTGTGATCAAAGTTTAAAGAAACTGCATGACCTCTAAACATGATTTTTTGTAAATATGTACAACTCAGCAAAGCTGATGTCATGACAAAATTGGAATTTTTAAATTCAATTTATCCACCAAGATGTTTGAGGTCAAAGTTCACCATATAAAATTTATAGGCCAATTGTTGGTTGATTACATGCTACATTATAGTTTAGAGTTTCTGATTGCTATAAATTTATATAGATCTCTATATGGCAATTTTTATTTTAGATTTAGATTAGTTTTAAACCATTTTTTCATAGTTTGCAGAGCTCAGTCTTGTTTCCCTAGAAAATACCTAGTAATAACACTGCATTAGTCTTGTACAATGCAATTTTAAAGCAGTTATTTATTTAATTTCTTTGGTACAATAAAGATCAATTTTTCCCATTACCTGGGGATTAGAATACAAGATTTATATAACAATTGTTAATTTTGAGACTAAGAAATAAGACTTTGCTAATGTTTACAATGAATTTTTGAAATAAATAAACGTCTTCCAATACTAGAGGAGTTACAATTCAGCACTTCAAACAACCTTTACAGCTCCAGTGGTATGTGTTTACACCTTGCTTGATATTACACGTGCTTTACAGTTGTTTCAGCGCGTGCATAACATTCCATGAGTATTCTTAAATCTGTTTATAAATTTTGAATCATATATGTTCCGTTCCAAACGTGTTCGAATTTCTAATTAAAGTAGCCTGATGAAGACCTCGATAAGGTTGAAAACGTTTGCTAAGGTGTAAACACATATCACTGGAGCTGTAAAGGTTGTTTGAAGTGCTGAATTTTTGAAAATAATCATACAAATTAAATATATTCTTGACATCAGAGCTATGTCAAGTTTTGGAAATTTATTTTTAAAATAGTGTAAAACTGTTCCACGCTAGCAAGGACTTCCCTTATTTGCATGTCCACATCTTGTACATGTATATACTCTGTTCTTAACATAACCCCACAGAAAGAAATCTAGAGGAGTTATGTCAGGCGAGCATGGGGGCCAGTGAGTGGGATTATCCTGATCTATCCAGTGGTCGTGAAATATGGTGTCCAGGAAAGTGCTTACAGTTACTCACCAATATGGTTGTGCACCATCCTGCTGAAAAATGTGATGTCATTTTCTAGTAGGACACTGGACATGTTGATGAACGTATGGTAGTAAATCGAGTATCACCTAGATGTGTTGCTAGTGACGAAAAGTGCACTTGTGGAAGTGCACTGATATGCTGACTAGAACTGTTTGCACTTACCTACTTTTTGATGCAGGAACTGTCTCTTTAAGATACAGTTCCTGCATTAAAAACTTTACAGATGCAAGTTTCACAAGTTTGTTTTAAAAATAAATTTCTAAAACTCAATGCAGACTTAATGGACGTTCTGTATATAATTTTATTGATCATTTTCGGAATGTTCTTTCTAAATGTCCTGAAGCTTGCATGTAACAAGCAAAAGTGCTTAATTAATTTGTCATTTTGAATTTGGGTATTGTTAGTTATGTGAAAATAATTTATGAAGCAATGTTAATTCCAAAAAAAATGTGATTTCATTACCTCATTTTCTTTAGAAAAAAGTAAAACTACTAAATTAAAGCTAATATTTTCAATATATATTTTCTGTTTTAGTACTCCTCAAGATTCAGAAACTTTACAAAATAGTCGCGATTTAGCAGAACTACAAGCCAGAAAAAATGCTTTGTCAATTTGCAGTGCCATAGTTAAATCTGCTTCTGATCTTTTGTTAGAAGCTCAGTCAGAAGATGGTAATACTATTAATATTTTAAAAAATATTTAAACTTATATTTTAGAATTTTTAAAAATGTAAGTAATAATTATTATTATTATTATTATTATTTTTTAGATGAAGATATCTTAAATAGCATTGGTTCTTCTCATCTCGTTACAATGCTTTTACCTTTAATTTTGGCCCATTTGGGACCAGTTGCTACAAGTGATCCTAGAGTAAGTCAGATTAATTTATTGGCCGTTGTATAAAATTTAAAGTGATTAACGTTAAAGTGGAATTTGTATTTAATTAATTTCACATTGGGTATTAAGTATGAAAGTGTAAATTAGGTGAATATGTTAATACAAATAATGTCTTTATACAGGATCTTTCAAAATGAATTCTACCATTTTAAATTACAGTAATTATGTTAATTACTATCTGAGAAGTATTTGATGTATATCAGTCGATAGTTCAAATGTTCAAGTTTCAGCTCCCATCTACATTCAAATATTTTGTCTGTTGCCTCTAGGAAGTGCTATAAACATAAATGGAGATTTCACAATAGAGAAGACATTTTGTATTCTGCAGCTTGCAAACTTCTGCAAGTTAATTTATTTGAAATGCATTTGAATCTATCCTGTTGTGTATCCAAGTTCAGGACAAAATATTGATACTTTACATAAAAATCTATAAATGTTTTAGGATATTCTGTTTATAATTCTTTGTTTTTTATTTTGAAAGTTTTATAGTGAGATTCAAAATATAGAGCGCTCAAAATAATCATATTATACTTATGTTCTTTTTTAGAGTGCTGTTCAAGTATTAAGTATGGTTCAAGATTTGCTTCCTCTTGTTGCAAATTTAAATAAAAGAGGAATTAAAAGTTTGCCATCTCCAGCTAAAACATTAGAATCAAACAGCAGTGATCACGGAGAATCAAATTTGTCCACCACTTCTAATCATTATGCAATTGTGGAAAGCGATCATCCGTATAGACCTGCGACAATAGCAAATTACAGGGTATGATTTTTGCTATTTCTGTTTATATTTTGTAAATTTTGTAGTTAATGATTCATTATTTAAAAATTAAAAATATTGTAATTAAAAAAAAATTACTTGTTTTTTAAGATGTTCATTAAAGCATCTTTACAGACTCAGTATTCACTGAATGTGGAGCAAACATTTGGCCAGTATCAAGTAGGATGGGTAATTTACTCATGACTGATATTTGAGTATTTGCTGTTTTCCACTTCTTGTTGGTATATTGTACTGAATCAAAGGAAAAGAATAGCAATTATTCAAAATCAGCAAATACGGAATGTGTGGATCTGTCTTTAGATAAATAGCATAATTTCTCTGAAGTAAATGTAAAAAGATAGAAAACAGTTTGATATTTTAAATATTACTGTTTGATTATGAAGAAATGTATGTCAGTATGTAGTCAATAATTATCTTACATATAGGAAATCCTCATTAGTTTGAAATTCAGGGGATGAAATACCATATTTACTCACATATAAGACAAGGTTTTTATTCATTTATTACAGCTTCAAATTCCTAGGTTGTCCTATACGCGTGAGCAAAAGATTCTTTGCGCTTTTACAAATAATTTTTGTGAACTGTGTATTTGCAATTTTTACCAGATGCTTACCCTCTAGTATTTAAAAACAAAAGTATTTTATCAGGATCGTTTGAATTGTTCTTGCATATTATCAGGAGTAAAGATGAATAACAATAGGAAAAGCAAAGCTTTTCAATTGAAATTCGAAAATTATACAGGAGTCCGCTATAAATTTTAATCCATTCCCACATGAAAACAGATGATTATTCGGAAATCAGAATTCAGAGAAACTTGTAAGTGTAATTGACAGAGAGTGGATTTGACTGTTAAGAATTGGTAAAAAAAAAGGTTCCCTTTTGTTCAGCTTCACATGAACAAATTGTTTTGTGAAGGTCCGAAACCCTTTTTCTGTTTTAGATCAGTATAAATCTAGGAATTTTCCTAGTAAAAGAGAAAAGGGGGACTTCTGTGGTCAATGACCAAGACACTCTCCTCGAATAAGAAAAAAAAGGAGAATGTTAAAATATCAATAAGAGAAATCATCTCTATTTGTTTAACGATTATTCTATAGACGTAGTATCAACAAGAAGGGAATAAGAGATATTTCTTATCACCTCTTGGTTGCACGTAACACGTGGTTACGGCAATAAATCGCCTTGTTCATAGTCAAACTCGACGTTTGATATAAACAATATCTAAATAGTTGACCAGGTTAAAGAAATTATTGTCAGATGATTGTTAATTTATGGATGAGAGCCATCAAACCTATAGGAATTTATATCATAAGGAATTTATATCATAAAATCATATCATTTTGACACCAATAACAATAAATTAAACAAACTTTGCTGAGTCATTTGTCCGAACTAGCTAGATCCAAATATCAACACACTAGCAGGTGTGCGGCTAAATCATTAATAACGTCATAGTTCTCACCCCCTCGAAATCAGTATAAAGAGGGCTCCCGGCCAGTATCAGGGTGGCCTCCAACTTAGAAGGAAATAACGGATTGACGATCCTCGTCGCTGACCACCAAAGACGGACAACACGGTTAGATTCTACAAGCTACAACTTAGTAAGTAGATTTCTCTCCCTTCTCTCAGGTGGACTAGGGCTAATTCCTAAATAGATTTTAAGAAGGATCAAAGACTATCCTCTATCATAAATATGCGAGATGTAGCCGGAAAACCGCCTATTGTAACCTCGGTTAGAGATTAGCATTATTATTAATTATTGTAACCTTTTCATATATATCATTAGTTAATTAAATATATATATATATATGTTATCTTAAATATGTGTGTTTACTCGTACTCGGTTAACACCTTATCGACTTATCCGCGACCTCCCACTCAATTTTCGCCCTCCTAAATTGCCATCCACTGACCCTGTGAGCGGGACTCACCGCCCCGTTGTTGGAAAATGGTTTAAGCTTTGATGCTAAAACCCCGATTCTCACAGTTTTGTCGATTTTACAAGATTTTCCTTATAGTTTAAAATGCTAATGATTTTTGTGGGACAATGTGTGCATGTACATTCATTTGATATTTTACTTCTGATTAAATGAAATAAAATTAGAATGTATTAATAAATTTAATTTTATTTACTTTGATCCTATATGCGAAGTCGTCTTATATGCAAGTAAATATGGTAATTTATGTTGTCAATTTTACAAGATTTTTCCTTAAAGTTTAAAATGTCAGTAATTTTTGTGGGACAATGTGTGCATTTACATTCATTTGATATTTTACTTCTGATTAAATGAAATAAAATTAGAATGTATTAATAAATTTAATTTTATTTACTTTGATCTTTAAAGTCACACTTTATCCTATATGCGAAGTCGTCTTATATGCAAGTAAATATGGTAATTGAAACTTTAAATTATCCAAGATTTAAATATTTCTGTATAATACACCAAATGCCATGTAACCAATGTAATTTATTGAGCAAATGGAATTTGGCTACTTATACAGAATGCTATTTTCTTTAATTAATAAAAATAATATAAATAAACTTTAGGTAAACAGCATGTGTCCAGTGAGAACTTCACAGGTGCGATAGGTTTTATAAAAGGTAAAGCAGAAATCCTCAAAACGTAGCCAAAATTATTTTTAAAGTTGTCCAAAATGTAATAGCCTAAAGTCCTATAAATATCTCAATCTGCTACTCATAGCTCAATCTTGCAATCCTGAAATCCAGCTGTATTTTATGAAATAAGAGGAAAAAAGGGTAGTCCATATGTAAGGTGACACCCGAAAATTTTTACTGTAAAGGCAATCATATTGACCAGATTAGAGTTGTTCTCAGTCTATTGTTCTCTTATAACATGGAGGCACTTTCATGTAAATGAACAAGTTAACATGCTTATATTACAGTTTGGATATAATTTTCACTTCAAATTATGAAGTAGCCATATTTTGAACTAACCAAATTCCTTAACATGGAAATCTCTATATCTATCTCCACCCGGGATAAAAGTACAGTTACGAATTAACTGAATTTCGAGCTAACTGAGTTTGAATTAATAAGGATTTCCTGTATCTCTTGTAATAAGAATAATATATTATAAGGGATATTCCACTTTTTATGATTTTTCTCTGCTGTAATTAGTGTTAATGAAAGTTATTCTATTATGCTTTTATTGATTTATTGTCTGTATCCAATATTATTTACTAGTTCTCTTTTTACTTTCTTGGCTGTTATGTATACATGACAAGGGAAAGTATCAGAATCACATGAAATTTGACCTAAGTTTTTTTTGCAAATTTCCATGTTTTGTGACCCCTTGAACCCAAAAAAGTTGAAAAACAGGAAAAAAATTCTCAAGTATGTGTGTTGGGTGTCTATTTCATTTAATATGTCAAGATGGGGTAGTGATTAAGATACAAATTTTGGCATGGTAGCTTGTATATAAGGGACATTGATGCTGTTAAATTTTGGTGGTTAAAGGTCAAGAGGATGGGGAGATAGAGGGCAGTCACATGTCATATCTTGAGAGGGATTGTATTTAATGAAGATTTTACTTGTTATTACCATTTACAAGTTTTTTGTTTTTATAAAACTCATCCCTACCCAAGATTAAGCTTTTTATAATTTTGTAATAATTAATAANTTTTCATTAATAGAAATCGCAACTCTCAAGTTTCAGATGTTCAATTCTGTAGATAACACGAGGGGTGAAGGTCAACTCTACTTATAATGACCACCTTTCTGTTGTGACTGATAACATACAAGGCGCAAGGGTACTTTTTTTTTCTTGACCTTTCGATCTCGAGGTTATGCCAGATGTGCTTCAAATACTTAAAACAAATTAAATCACCGAAAAGTCATTAAAATTATCAAGATGGACTAATGCCACTCTATTATAAAAACAAAAAAGTCTTTATAGATAGATAATATTTTCCTCAATCCTGTATCAAATTCGTTCTATTACTCTCTCTCTCTCTCTCTCTCTAGAAACTATTGAGCCGATTATAATAATTTCTGCATAAATCATTAATCTGAGAAGAAAATTCTCTACATAACATGAACAATATATTAAAATAAAATTCTACAATTAATCAAATACTCCTATGTTATTTGCCTTTCTTTTTTATACTTTAAGAAGTAACATTACAGCTCGGTAATATATGTTAAATTATACAATTACAGGATAATAATGATTTTAAAAACGTACGTTTCTTAAAAATGTACTTTAAATTGCATTCATTACGAATAAATTTTAAATTAATATTGCCTTAGAATATATTTAAAATTGACTATAAATTACTTATCATTATTGCATTTCATATAAATCTATTTTTTTAAATTTTATCACAGCCAAGAAAATTACGCAACTCATTGTAAAATAAAATAAAGTAAAGTAAAATAAATTTTAAATTAATATTAATGAAAATGCCTAAACTTTTATTATATTAGGTTACCTTTCCTCCATCGGTAAAATGGCTATCATTGGAGTTTGATCCACAGTGTGGAACTGCTCAAGCAGAAGATTGTCTCCAGTTATACATACCTAGCATTGATTCCAATGGCATTTGGTTATCATCACAGGCCATGAATATTAATGGGTCTCATGATGATGACGACGACTCCTACACGCCGTATTGGCCAGTTCTTCGGAAGTTTAGTGGAAACACCGATTGGCCTAATGCTGCACTTATACTTCCTGGTATAAATTTTTTAATTTTCTGAATAAATAATAAATTTATTCTGTAAATTTTTTTATGTAATGACAGTTGCATCATACATAAGTCTAGTACTTGTGGTGCCAAGTGTCCCATCCTAATGAGCAAGGTGCTTGCTAGCATTACAACTTTGAATTGCAGTATTGAGGGTGGTATTTGAATTGATGTGGTATCATTGTATGGCTGCATTTCTTTATGTAGTGAGAGTGTAGAAAAAATGATGTTACGAGCAGCTTCGCTACACATCACTGCTTCATAGTTTAGAAATGCTTTCTGCTCAAGCTAAAAATGGATGCCATAATCTATCCTTTAATTCTAGTTACAGCTGAAAGTAATGCTTTAGTTAAAGAACTACAATATTTAAATAAAGAGATATAAAGGGTTGAGCATTTTTCTTTTCAAAAATGTGAGCAAAGTAAAAAGATAGGAGATAGATAATTATATTTAAAATACAGTATTTTCTTATTCTTTAGATAACTTTCAGAGTCATTTTATAGAATTTAATCCTCCTTAATCTTTTTATAATATTTTTATCAATGTTATTTTGACTTTTTTATTTTCACAGTATAATATTGTATTATACACACAAACGTTCATTTTGTTTTACAAGTGTAGGGGGCGTAAAAGCTGCTTTATCGTTGCTGCAGTGACTCCTTGCAACAAACATTTAAAAATGGTTTGCTATATTATAGCACTACATTTTTGGACTTGGGACCTTCAAATGTCGAGAAATGCAAAAACATTTGGGTTTTTTTCTTGTATGTATGTATGTATGTATATTTGTGTGGAGAGGCATGATTTTGTTTACCTGCTATGAAAGCTTATAACTCCTGTGCTTTTTGTAAAAAGTTTCTGAAATTTTGCAGGGAAGTCTGTGTATTAGGGGGAAAGGTGCTATTAAATTTTGGTACTTAAAGATCAATGGCATAGGGAGATAAAGGAGGTTGTATGTTTTGTCTTGAGTAGGTGTTGAGAGATGGCACCAACTTATTCAGGATGAAACTGCCCAAGAAAAACTTTGTGAGGCGTTGTCTTGCTCAACCTAGCAGCTAACACCTTAACTGTTAGGCTGTGCAAGTCAACTGAGTTGTTAAGATGTCTGAAGGCAATTGAATGATTAAGGGTTTAACTATTTGATTGTCTTTAAGGTATAGATTATGAAAGCCTATTTCACTTCTATAATCTGTGTAATCAATTAAATATCAAAGCCAAATGACCTGCTGAATTGTCAGGCTGTTTTCAGGCTATATTAATAATTAGTTATCAGTTAATTTAACTGGAGGTAGTCACTGTCTCGTATTAATTAATAATTAGCATGGTAACTGTTTATTAACGTATCTTAAAAATAGCCTGATAATTTGATAGATCGTTTGACTTTTATTAATTAAATTGGGTTTTGATTTGGTGATGATAAATAATTAGATGTCAAATGTTTAAGCATTCAATTTTGATTACAATTAAAAAATAATTAAGAATCTTAAATGTATAAAAATTATAATTTCAAAATATTAAGAATGTAACTTATTATTTGCATAACAAATCTCATATATGATTATTTAGTTTATAATTTTTGTTTTGGAGGAATTACTTGATTTGTAAAATATAGTGATGATGATTAAAATTAATTATATTTTTAGGCAATGAGGTAGTGTTTTCATTAGAAACTGCATCCGATTATGTTAAAGATGACAAAGCTTGCTTTTACGGATTCAGTTGTCAAGTTGTAGGATTTGAATGTCCTCAATTAAGTGGCCATAGTTTTAAATCTGGATCATCTCTTGAAGGCTTGCGACATTTAGAGAGAGAATTAGCCTATCTCGGAGGCATGTGTTCCGCATCGCTTATGAGAAGAGATTTACTTTTACCTCCCGGTTTGTATATTATTATAATAAGTATGCAATAATTATTAAATATTCATTTTTTACATAATTTTCAATAGTTTACTAAAATAAAATAAGTAAAAGTTGCAAGTTTTCAAAACAAACTACAATTAAATGTATCACATGATGATGATGATGATAATTAATTTATTTATTTACAAAAATTATGCATGGTAATACTGTATTTTATTTAAACAGATACTTTTAATTTTTTCTGTAGTTCTTCATCAGGTTTTAAAGTATAAAATTAGAAGATTTGAACTGATAGTCCTGACCTTCTCGTACCTTTCAGAACTTGACGCAGATCTACGAAAGGATTTGTTTGAATAAAGTACAGTGTTGCTGGAAAATGTATTTAAGATGTTGTTTAATTTAAATTAGTTTCAGCTTTGGTGGAAATGCTATTTACGTATGCAAGGCAATGCCAATTAGGTAAAATGACCTTCCCCAAATATAATAGAATTGTTTCAAAATATAACAGAAGTAAAAGCCAAAACATAATAGCACAACAGTAGAAAATCAAATTATGATACATATACAGTCGACCCCCCTATAACGTACGTTCCTATAATGACAATTCCTATAACGTAGCGAAAAAATTGTAGCAACTTTCGTATAACGTACCTCCTATAACGTCGTTTCGCGACAAGATTGATAGAGTCTGGACCAATAGTGGATGAGCAGCCGAACTACTTTCCTCCGACCCTGCGCCACGCTACGGAGCGGCTAAATTGAGTTTGCTATCGTCTGTTTAGTATTATATATAAATTAGGTATAAATTAGGTANTTTCCAGTTTGGAATTCAGCCACAAAGTCCAATTTTGATTGGATCTTACCTGTCTGTGAAAAATGTAATGATACCAGATTCAATACCAGAGGAAAACAATCAATACTGGTATCAGAGTAAATTTCAGATCTTCTGATTTCCAGATTTGTGGTCCATCAGAAAGAACTTGTTTCTCCCCATTCCAATGGTCACATTGCCTTATATTCAATTTTGAGGGTCGTTGGCTGACCAATCCACAGTTGGGTTGGTAGCTTTCCTTGATTGATATACCTGTCTCAACTTGTTTAGGATGACTCACGCTAACAGATCCCTTCCAGAAAATGTGTTCCAACAAGTGGAAAGCTGAATTATCTTGTTCCTACTTGATAGGCCTCCTTGACTTGACAATCAGTATCGAAGAAAAGTATCAGTACTGATGACGACACCATATCAGGATGTCCCTAGTGACAAATCAGTATAAAAATTCTTTTCCTACCTTATAAGTGTAAGTTACAGTGATATTTGTTAATCCTGACAATCATTTTGAAAAGTCCTGTATATTATATTGAAGATTTATTAACTTTTTTGACAGTTTGTAACTTGTTAGCGTGGAACGTATCTAAGCGTTATAGGGGGGTCTACTGTAGAGCATTCTTACAATACCATTTGCATTTTCAGTAGTCAAGATGTAGTAGGTTCTCTACAATTTTGACAGGATAAACCTGTAAAAGGTTCTCTAGGATATTAAAAATTTAAAAAAGAGAAGAAGAATTTTGAGAATTAATTTGGTGTTAAATTAAATGGGGGAAAAAGACCATTATAGAATTTATAAGTAATTATTCTGTTGAAATATACAACTTTGTCCTGAAAACACAGACCTAAACAAAAGCATTCAATATTGGAAGAGTTAGTAAAAGGTAAATTCGAAAGTTTGTTTAATAATAGATGGGTTTGGAAATTTCTTTTATAAAGTGTATTAGTGGCAATCAAGTCATCCTAAATATTATTTATTCATAGTTATTTTAACTTCATATTTTTTTTCCTGCTTATTAGAGTCCAAATGAAATGTAGATATTTTATAGATTAGAATACATGTGTGACAGGATGGTTGGCATTATGTCATGATGACATCACTATGTCGGAAACGACATAGAAATTGCAATAGCCATTGCATCTCGTGCGAGTGGTCACATATTAAGGACGGTCGGATTCGGATGGAGGCTACACAAGAGACAATGCATCTTAAGAAGTGCACCAAACACAAATTTAACAATAACAAATTCTGTTTATGTATGATAACTAGCAAATTTTATACATGCAAGCTTCAACCACGATATTAAGTGAAGTTGGAGAGAGAGAGTTTACATATAAATTATGTAGATACCTTACAATGCCAGATGGATGGAGTTCACTGTTAGATGGAATGTGTTCACTTTAGAAGGAGTTCACTTTGATGGAGGAAGATCACGGAGGTATCTGAGCAAGGGGTGACTCCGGAGAGGATGAACTTCTCATGACAATGACCCCGATCGTTATTGGTCCCTGTCTTTTATTGGGGGGTCTTTTTCATGTTTCGTCTTGTCCTTTTTTTCTTGGAAATGTTATAGGTTGCGGCCAATAGACAAATTTAGATGAAAGTTCTGGGTGACACATTTGGAAGATATGTCACCTTCTAAAGGAAGTGAATCTGGTGGAAAATGCAATCATATCCTTCCATCCTTTTATTAATTGTTAGGAAAAATTTTTATACAATTTTCTTTGTGTTTAATATAAATTTTAACTGTTAATTTTCTTGGATTTATATAATTGTGTAAAAGTTTAATCAAAAATAAAATTGGGGCTCTCACATACAGAATTTCTTGCTGGGGCCAGCTCATTCTCCTAATCTCACACTACAAGTTTTTCTTAGGGTTTAATGTGAAAAATGCTGTTTGGCCCCTCCTCTACCTTGGTCCATTGATGAACTAAAGGTGTGCATTATCAATACCATACAAACCATCACCAGTAAGTAATCTATGCATGCATTCGGGAATTGGACTGATGGCTTGATATCTGTAGGGTGACAAGAGGAAAATATACTAAACATTTGTAACACACTGAAAAAAGTTATGATTTTAGTGACATATGTGGTATCAATACCAGTATCATTAGCATCAGTATCAAGCCATGGACTGAACAGCGACAACCATAAAGATATTACATTTCGATACCCGATGTCAATACTGATTGGTGTCAATACTTTAACACCAGCCAGTATTGACATCAGGTATCGAAATGGAATATCTTTCTGGTTGTTGCTGTTCAGTCTGTGGCTTGATTTTGAAACGTGTTGTTTAAAACTTTTAATTTTAACATAAATAACATGCTTTATTCTCATTAGTTATTATTAACAAATTATTAAAACTGATTTCAAACATAAACTAAATGCTACAATACTGTATCATTTCACTTAAGATTTTAATATATTTTTTAAGTTTTTCAAATAATTGGAAATCTATTTATAAATAGTAAACATATTGTATGTAGATTCTGAAAATGAAATTTGATGTAATAAATTTATTGATTTTTGGTTATTAATACTAATTATATTGGTTTAACTTAACCAAAAATAGTGTACGATTCAGTTTTGGTTAAAACTGACTTTAAAACCTGGTTTCCAGTTTGGAATTCAGCCACAAAGTCCAATTTTGATTGGATCTTACCTGTCTGTGAAAAATGTAATGATACCAGATTCAATACCAGAGGAAAACAATCAATACTGGTATCAGAGTAAATTTCAGATCTTCTGATTTCCAGATTTGTGGTCCATCAGAAAGAACTTGTTTCTCCCCATTCCAATGGTCACATTGCCTTATATTCAATTTTGAGGGTCGTTGGCTGACCAATCCACAGTTGGGTTGGTAGCTTTCCTTGATTGATATACCTGTCTCAACTTGTTTAGGATGACTCACGCTAACAGATCCCTTCCAGAAAATGTGTTCCAACAAGTGGAAAGCTGAATTATCTTGTTCCTACTTGATAGGCCTCCTTGACTTGACAATCAGTATCGAAGAAAAGTATCAGTACTGATGACGACACCATATCAGGATGTCCCTAGTGACAAATCAGTATAAAAATTCTTTTCTTACCTTATAAGTGTAAGTTACAGTGATATTTGTTAATCCTGACAATCATTTTGAAAAGTCCTGTATATTATATTGAAGATTTATTAACTTTTTTGACAGTTTGTAACTTTTATTTTAATCTAAATTTAAAGATTTCTTTTAAATTTAGATTAAAATTACTTTGTTTTGGCTAATTTATGAATTATTATAATTAAAAAATAAGAATGATGTAATTTTTAAGTTATTTAGTAATTACAATAATAACACAAAATTTTACATTATTTTATTGTGTTAAAATCATTTGTATAATAATAGGGCAGTTACTCATGTTTATAAACATTTTCTTTTTAAATATAAAAGCATCAATTGGTGAAGTTGAAGAAGATTTGGACTTGATTGAAGAACTTGCACATCAGGTATGAAATAAAAAATTAAATCTATTATTATTATTATCATTTTTTTTTTTTGAAAAATGTGAAGAATATTATGAAAAATAATAATAAATAATAGTTAAAATATTAAATGTTTATAAATATAGAAATCAGATAGAAAGTATTGTGACAAATATTTTTAATTTTATTGCATTATTATAATATATATATACAGTGGTACTTCAGGTTATGAACGCCCCAGCATACGAAATTTTCAGGATACGACATGAAATTCGAACATATTTTTGCTCCACGATACGAACAAAAACTCACCATACGACGTTACATTAGTTCGCATTTTTCATTTGTTTTTCTTACTACAGTTATTTTTTTTAATGTATTACTTGGCTTTAATTTGAGTATGTTTTTCGCGTTGGAACGAATTATTTGGTTTTACATGTAATCGTATGGGAAAAGATGATCCACCTTACGACATTTTCATGATACGATCTCAGTTTCGGAACGGATTAATTTCGTATCCTGAGGTACCACTGTATATAGAAAATATTATATAATAATATTTTCTATATTATATGCAATATAGAAAATTATTTTCTATATTATAATATATGCAATATAGAAAATATTATATGATAATATTTTCTATATTACATATATTACATATAATTATCAATTGAAGATAGTTTATAATAAAATGTGCTCAGAAATAATTAAATTATCTTGTAGCAAGTTTCAAAATCAAAATGACTGTTTAATTTTCACTGAAAGATAAAATTTGGTAGGTAAATTAATAAAGGTTTTTGAAGAGAATATGAAAATATGACACAAAATATAGTATAACGAAGAAATTGTATTGTCTTTTGGCATTAGATTTATTTACTTGATGTACATGAAAATACTTGAGTGCATTTAATTTATGCAGATACTTTCAACATTTCAAAATGTCATCCCCTTTCTTCACTTCAGGATGACATTTTGATATGTCAAAAATGTTTGTGTGAATTAATTACATGCATGTACTTTTGTGTACATCAAGTAAATAAATCAAATGCCAAAAGACAGTACAATTTCTTCGTTATACTATATTTTGTGTCATATTTTCATATTCTCTTCAAAAACTTTATTAATTTTCTAATTTTCTAATACTGTAAATCAGTGGTTCTCAAACTTTTTTAGGATTTCTTGCATGCTCTACAATTTTTTAGATTGCTTGCGGACACTTATAAAATTAACTACAATTTACTTACAGGTTACTGTTACCAAAACATTTTTTGACAAAAAATTATTTATTCAGAAAATGGCAAATCTTACTCATCAAATGTACATTCAGTGGGATGAGTGCATCTGCTTTGCTTGAAGTGATCCCTTCATGGTCCCCCTGAAACCACTTCACAGTCCCTAGAAGACCATGGACCCCAGTTTGAGAACCACTACTGTAAATGTTTTTGCTGTAATGAATAAAGGTGTAGAGGGAAATGTTTGATGTCTAAAAAAACTTTTTACATTAATGTAATGTGTATTTGTAAATTATATTCCCATGTGATTTTATGTGGTAGCTGCCATGATCAAAATTATCTTTCATCTCTCAGAACACTGTAGTGAAAGAACAGTTCATATCCGTTATTGTTAACCTGCTCAGTTCAAAGAACTTATAAAATCAGCAATAAATCAGTTTATTTCTACAGAAATTAGACAAATTACTCATTTTTATTTCTTACTATTAGTTTATTTATTATTATTAGCTACACTTAAATTAATCCTAAATTTTCATATTATTATTTATGCTATAAGTTAAATTGTAATTAATAAAATTTGTGAATTTGGAATATAGATGGGCAGTTAAGCTGCATTTTAAATTGTTAAAGATATAAAGTATTTATAAATTTTATTATAAAAATAAAATAATATATAATTCATTGGATTAATGTTTTTTTTTTTTTTTTTTTTTTTTTAAAATTTTGCAGGTATAAAATGATCACTCTAATCTTCTGTCTAAGGGTTTTGCTCTTGCGCATCCTCCGACAATACATCAGGCTTTAGAAGGGATTCTTCCCTTTAGTAATCAGTCTAATGAGCATTCCTTTCTTCGAGACTTTGTTACATGTGCAACTGGTACTAGTGGAGGAAGATTAGCTAGGTAAATGCAAAATATATCTAATTTTTTTTCTATAATATTATGTTTGGCCTTTTGACTGAATATAACAATTGTTTGCATTAAGCTTTAATTTATTGTAGCTCAATGTAATACATCAATTATTTGTAATATATCAAATGATTGCCAGATTACATTGGGTTATAATAATGTTCAATAATTAAACATCAAATAACTATGCAATGAGTAACCAGTATGGTTATATCTACAATAATAGTTTTGGAAGTGAAGATTTGGTGGACACCTGCTTAGCACAACAAGGAATGCGTCTGCATAGTAAGCAGGGGTTACGGGTTCGAGTTCTGCTCCAGATCGATTCTTTTCATCTAGAACCTTTTAAATTAATTATTAAATATTAATTTAATTGGGCTGCAATTTGAAAAACTGTAGACCTATAAATTTCCACTGTCGTCTATCTGTCTTTCCTTAATCTCGAGAACAAAGTTAGATAGATGAAATTCGAGACCAGATATGGAAAGCTTAGGGCAGGAGGCCCCAATTAACTGTATACGAACTTCCAATGCAAACTGGAAGTCAAATTATTTCAGTTAAAAAATTTTTTCCTAAAAGGAGTTAGATAGAAGACTGGCATGACACTACTGTTAAAGGAAACATATGATGGTGGAGAGAAGCTGCAACCCAGAAAAATTGCTCATTGAAGAATTTAAAAATGTAGTAGCTAACTTTAAATGTAATAAGTCACCTGATATAGATCAGATTAAAGCAGAATGTTTTAAAAGTTTATCTGATCAATTCCTGTTTAAAATTTTAGATCTGTTTAACAAAATTAAAAGAACTGCAAATTTCCCCAATAGTTGATTGAAATTTTGATATTACCCATTCATAAAAGAGGAGTTGTTTCTGACCCTGAAAATTATCATCCAGTTTCACTAGTTCCAGTAATTGGCAAATTATTTATGGCTATTTTGCATTCTCATTTAACTGTTTGGGTTAATGAAATGAAAATGTTACATCAAGAACAAGTCAGGTATTAGAGAAGAATTTTCTTGTTTAGATCAAATATATATTTTAAATGGGTTAATACAGGAATGGCTTAGGAAGAAAAAAAATTATATGCAATGTTTGTTGATTTTAAAGTTGCATTTGACAGCATAACTCATTCTAAGTTGTGGGCTGTGCTTGGAAAAATGATGATCAGCGAACATGTTTTGAATTTGACAATGAATATTTACAGGAAGGCTAATACAAGGGTAAAATGTATGAATGTGTATACATAGTCAATTGATATAAAGAATGACATACTGCAAGGTGAAATTTTAAGTCCTATGTTATTTTCTTTATATGTGAACGAACTTGTGGATTGTATTAAACTGTCTGATCTTTGAGTTTCTCTCTTTCTGATGATAAAGAGTTCCATATATTATTGTATGCTGATGATAGTTATTATAGCAGATACCCCAAATTTGCTACAGGAAAATTAAATATCAGAATTTTTATGAAGATGATGAGTTAAAAATTAATTTATCTAAAACAAAAGTGATGGTGTTTAGAAAAGGCAGTAAGCTCTCTCATCACAGTAAATGGTATTATAAGGCTGTGTACACACAAGCATTTTGAAACTCATGTTTTGTTAACACGAATTTTAAAGAACCAAGAGTTCTCTATAGGTATACACACACAAATGTGCGTTGATAGATTTTGGTTAGAACGTGCGTTTTGCAGGCGTCAGCCACGTGCTTTGAGATACATGTGCTGCTGTTTTGTTGTACATTCAATTGCGCACTTTCGGGTAGAGTGGACGTACATTGGCCGAAATGGAGAATGATCATTTCAATACTGATCTATTTATTGATGAAATCCAAAAGAGACCAGTCATCGTCAAATGATTTTATAGACATTCTAAAATAATTTAAAAACTTGGTTCATATTGTCTTAGTTTTGGATACAATGTCACAAACATTCCATGCGTCAGTCTATCTCGTAATATTGGGTGCACCTAAAATTCTCTTTGATTCTGCTATCGTCTTTTATAGCAATGATGGAGGAGGAACAAACAAGCAATTACTTTCACGTCCATTTCCAAATTGAGCCAGTGCGAATGGTCATCGAACGCTGTGCTAAAAGCATGGTGTGTACGCTGCTAATTACTTTCATGTCCATTTCCAAACTGAGCCAGTGCGAACGGTCATCGAATGCCGAGCTAAACGCATGGTGTGTACGCTGCTAATGCACGTTTAATGCAACGCCCAATGCCTAATGTGTACTATCCCTAAAGGTCAGTTACTGGATATCGCTTCAGAATATATTTATTTAAGAGTACTGTTTTCATCTTTGTGTTTATTTTTATTGCAAAAAAGTATTTTTTTTTAAAAGTAAAAGAGTGAGAGGGACCATATGGCCTTTATTAACTAAACTAAGTGTTTAATGTTGATACTTATATGAATTTCTTTCATTCATTAATATATTCTGTATTCTTTTATGGATCTCCTATCTGGGCGATGAATCACTTCCAAGAATTGGAAGTAATTCTTTGTATCTTATTTCATTGGATTTATTAACTTTCATGGTTATATGATACAATTAGAAATTGGATGTTCTAGAATATCAGTTTTGTTTCTTAAATTGATAATTAATTTCTGGATAAGAAGTTTGGAAATGTCAGATTGTGCTATAATAGAATATGTAAATTAAAATTTAATAGTTTGAGTATTAAGTATAATTGAATACTCTCATTAAAGAAAACTTTGGATAATTCTGGTCTTAGCTTTCTCTGGACATTATGGGAATCAGATGCTAGGAAGGTACTTGTAGATAATTATAAAATCTTATTGTGAACAAAGCATACAGAGGAATTGGTCAGAGGCAGAACAGAATGATCCTTGTAAATTATATTGTTCACTTAAGTCTCATTTTTACACAGAATGGTATCTTAACTCAAATTTTAAATTTAGTCCAAGTTCTATAGTATTGTGTAATAAGAAAATCTGTCTTTAGAAGTGTTGAACATGAGATCGTGTTGTTAACCAATCATATGGCTTCTTTTCCACCTTTATTTAGTTGATACGATATCATTTACGATATCAATAAAGGTGGAAAAGAAGCCATGTGATTGGTTAACAACATGATCTCGTGTTCAACACTTCTAAAGAAAATCTAGTACAACACTGTTTCACAGCAAATGAACAAGAAAATCTGTATTAATTCTAATGAAAGATGTCTGTATTGTATTTCAGGTCAAAATGTGACTTGGGAAGATATTGTTTTGTTTTGTGACAGCTATAGTAATTAGGACAGGAAGATATTATTGCTTTAACTTCTGCCTATGAGGGTGTGCCTTGAAAAATTGTATTGTTTTTTGCATGTTTTAAATTAAGAATATAATTATACTTTCGTATATTGTAAAAATACATTATATTGTGATTTCTATACTAATAACAATGTTCATACTAATGTATTTTTCCCTTGTAGTGGACATATATGTCATACAATACATAAGTAAATAAAAAATATTACTTTTCATTATATTCTTTATTCAGGTTTTTAATGAATTTCTAATGGCTTAATTTATTTATGTTTTAATAAATAATTTAATCAGATTGACTTTAATTAAGAAGAAAGAAAAGGTTTTGAATGTTTATACTTATAGTTTTAGTGATGATAAATATTAATTGTTTCCATTAATGAATTTTTCTTATGCCATTTCAGTTGGTTACAGCCAGAATCGTATGTGGATCCTAAGAAATGTGAATTATTATGCAGTCAAGATGAATTAAAATGTGGATGGCCAGCAATAATAACTGTTATAACAAAAGATCAGTATGGTAAAATAGTCCACGTTCCAAATTTGAAGGTATGCTAGTTATTATTTGAACTATCTTATTAAACAATATCAAAAGCGCTCAGCAACTAAATAATAAGAAACAAAACACCTTTTTTGCCGAGAAATAAATATAATTTGAAAAAACAAACATTTTCAGCCTAGTTAATAGGCCATCTTCAGGTCGAAAAAATGGAACGTAAATGTTCCATAAATAGAACATAAAAATTATTTAAATCAAAAATTTTACAAGAGAAAAAAAAATAACGGAAGAATAAATAAATAAATAAATTAATTAATTAATTAATTAAAACAAAAATAACATAAATCTTCAATGGATTAATTCTGGTCGAAGTTTCTAGTATATTTCTTAACCAAATATTTCCATGCCGATGGTAGGCTCTCCGCATCTCTCGCATTTAAACAGCCTTCTCCTATCCTACTTCTGTATATTTCTATTTTCTCCGCCGTCATTGCTAGAGTTGGGGAAGACAGAGGCTTTTAAAAGAATGTTTAAAGAATAAGGTGTATCCCATGTCGATTTACCGAATTAGCATCCCTAAGGAATGCCGTTCTGTAAAAAGTAGGTTCTGTTTGGCGTGCCTCAAAAAGTCTATTAGAATAGCCAAAAACAAAAAGTATGGGATATTGAGTGAGCTTATTTGCTTAGAGGACACCATATATAATGAAGATCCGGCCAAACTGATTGATATCAATAAAAGAGTGATGGAATTGGCGGAAGCTGTTTGTAGGAGTTCCAATAAGCAGTATGTCAAAAAGTTGAAATGGATTATTCATAAGCAAGTAAGAAGAGATAATAGGAAGAACATTAGTACTTTCTATGTATGGGACCAGATAGAAATACCAAAGAAAATCAAGCAGGTTCTGGAGAAAGGCCCGAACTTTGTCCCCACTGAAGTAGGTGGTTGGGAAACATCAGTACAGGAGATTGAGAGAGGGATTGTTGGACTGGATGCATTAGAAAAGGAATATTTTAGATGGAAAGCGGTCATTAACAAACGGCCGAAGAACAGGACAGATGGTATTACTAGTAGGGACATTTGGCTCACGAAGGAGTGGTTAAGGATTAATAATCTTGTGTTGACAAGAGCAGACAAGACTAAGCATTTGGTTATCATGAGAAGGCATACGTATAACAAGGAGTTGCATAGTTACATCAAAAAGACGGAATGTGAAATTGTTGGTGACAAGATAGTTGGAACGTTGGACAGAAGAGTCAGGAGGCTGGAACGCTCAGGACTTTCTGCTGTTTTACCTTTTCTCAAGAAATGCTGGAACCCAAGGCCCGGAACTCCAAGATTGTTTGCTTTCGCTAAAACCCACAAGACCGGAATGGAGTTAAGGCCAGTTGTAGAGAAATGCAGAGGACCCACCTTTATATTAGAAAAAAGGCTGCACGAACATTTATCCTCACACCTTGATGATGATAGTCTAGTGGCACAGGATCCTCTTATTGTTGTCAAGGAAATACAAGGTATATCTTTAATGGAAGATGAGGTAGCGACCGTTTAAAATTATGAAAGCATGTATCCTTCAGTAATGATTGAGTCTTGCGTGGATGCGTTATTGGATTTATTGTACATAAAGAACTCCCAATTGCTTCTTTACACCCAAGAGCTAGAAGAACTGTGAAACATGTTCTTCTAGCTCTGAAATGTGAAACATGACTCATAGCATACCAGTTTAGCAACTGGTATGCTATGAGTCATGTTTCACATTTTGTGGTCAGGTCTACAGACAAAAAAGAGGGGTTCCGATGGGAAGTCCCCTCTCAGGAATCCTTTGCGAATTAGTTGTCAGAAGAATAGAAAGACGGGTACTTCATAGTTTCAAGGAAGATATTGTATATTTCAGCAGGTATGTGGACGACATCCTTATTTTATGGAAAAATAATAGTAGGGTGCATGAATTTATGAGTAGAATCAATGATAACGATGATGGACTTAAATTGAGATTAGAACAAAAGAGTTCCTTGAATGTGCACTTCTTGGACATTAATATCCGGTTTATGAAAGGACATTTGTCCACAAGTGTTTATATTAAACCTACACACGCCCCATTATATATACCATCCCAATCCATGGATCCATATCGGTATAAGATGGCAGCCTTCCGAGCGTTAATAAGGAGAGCCTATTTATATTGTGACTGAGTCGCTGACAGGGAGAAGGAGATTGATAGAATATTGCAGGTGGCCCGGACCCTGGGTTACAGAAAAAATATAATTGTAGGAATGCTTAAAAAGTATGAAAGGGGCTTTAAGAGAAAGAGCTTTAAGGAATGTTCCTACTAGGATCACAAAGTTTACTTATAATAGTAGTATGATTAGTGTAATGAAAGAAATTGCTAGTCGAAAGGAATCAAGAATGGTATTAAGAAGAGCCCCTAATTTGTATAAGATCTTGAGAAATGATAAGGATAGTATAAAAGCGGAAGAAAAAGCAGGGGTGTATAAGGTTCCTTATGAAAACCTACAACTGGATGTTAAAAAAGATTATATCGGCATCACTACCAGAAACTTGGGAGTAAGGCTCAAAGAACATAGATACGCCATAAGAAAAGCATCTAATTCAACGATATTGTCCCAAGTGGTGTAAATACAAGGATCTGAGGTTAAATGGGATGAGGCAACAATCATCAAGCCTCTGTCTTCCCCAACTCTAGCAATGACGGCGGAGAAAATAGAAATATACAGAAGTAGGATAGGGGAAGGCTGTTTAAATGCGAGAGATGCGGAGAGCCTACCATCGGCATGGAAATATTTGGTTAAGAAATATACTAGAAACTTCGACCAGAATTAATCCATTGAAGATTTATGTTATTTTTGTTTTAATTAATTAATTAATTTATTTATTTATTTATTCTTCCGTTATTTTTTTTTTCTCTTGTAAAATTTTTGATTTAAATAATTTTTATGTTTTATTTATGGAACATTTACGTTCCATTTTTTCGACCTGAAGATGGCCTATTAACTAGGCTGAAAACGTTTGTTTTTTCAAATTATATTTATTTCTTGGCAAAAAAGGTGTTTTGTTTCTTATCTTATTAAATTTAATGCATGTTTATAGAAGGTCCGTGTGATATTATTTTATATTTAATTGAATTTAAAGAGATTGTGAATGCATTCTAATGCTACAAAGAAATAGTTATTTTTCATATACCCATTATGAATATTAACCCATTATTCCCCAGGATCTTGATCATGGGTTAATACTGCTGCCCTGCCAAAACTGCTTAAGTGCCAAGCTTGTATTTGCTGTTTTGTCAATACAAGAGTTTAACAAGTAACAAACAAACAGGAAAAGTGAGCATTATGATTCTTCATCTTTTGAAGAATAATATCAATTAAAATTTTAAATGGTATTATTAGAATTAAAAAGGATTTTTGAACTTTTTGTGTAAAAAGTCCTGTTCTTTCATTTAAAACAAAAGATCCTTTAAGAATTTTATAATCTGTATTTAATTGAGTAGTTTTGAAGAATAAATTTTTTATCTTCAGAATTAATACTTCATATACAGTACGAAAAATGAAAAACTTATAATTAACAATGTTACTAAGACAGATATTAAATAATAAAATGTTTTGATGCTTTAATATAGTAAGTTGACATTGGGAAAAAGCTGTTAATCTTGCACTAGTATTAAAGAAGAAGAAACATTTTTTACACTGTGCAAGATACATATATTAAATTTACAGTAGAATGCTGATTTGCTAAGATAGTGTGGATCGATGCTATCTTGGTTAAAATGGATAGCCATGGCCATTTTGGATTAGTATGACTCCACAGTATGCTTCTTCTTTATCATCATTGTGATATTCAAAATGAAGACTTAGGTTTATTAAAGATATACAAACATCTCAAAACCCGATATTTCAGTAATAAGCCAAACAACTAATGTATTAAATTGGGCTATTTTTCCACAATTTATTATTTATTAATTTCTAAATAATTTGTCACTAGAGGGAGGCATTAGGTGCCATCTGTTATTAATGCCTCCCTCTAGTGACATATTATTCAGAAATTAATTAATAATAATTGTGGAAAGGTTGCCCAATTTAATCCAGTAGTCATTTGGTTTATTAAAGATACAGACAATTGACAATATTTAATAGATGCAAAGTGTACATTTAAGGAGGTATATGTGATTAATAACAGCACTGTAACATTTTCCATCTCTTTAACCACTCACTTGGCACAGTTGGTACTAGACTATTTATTGCGTACAGTGTAAAGTACTATATTAATTTTCCGACTATACTTCGCTAACCTTTTACATTATTCTTTTTAACAATTATCGGGATGCTTTATTCTTTTAAGGTTTAGTGATTCCTAACTGGGTTGTGGGGTCTTCCCCCCCTTTTTCTCGGTGCGGACTTACTTTTTTCCGCTTGGGAAGCGCAAGTGTGCGCGAGTTTTTCTACGGCGCTTTTCTTTCGTCGGTGAGTTGGTTTTTCTTCTATTTTTAAGTTACTAAGGTGAATGGTGAGGAAACCTTCGTCTTAACTAAACATAAGCCCCAAACAAAATATAATGAAAGCAAAATAAAAGTAAAATAAAAATAAAGCTCAGACTTGGTTCCTTACACCCCTTCCCCTTTAGATTAAAGAGAAATTTATTTCTCTTTTCATTTNAATAATTGTGGAAAAGTTGCCCAATTTAATCCAGTAGTCATTTGGTTTATTAAAGATACAGACAATTGACAATATTTAATAGATGCAAAGTGTACATTTAGGGAGGTATATGTGATTAATAACAGCACTGTAACATTTTCCATCTCTTTAACCACTCACTTGGCACAGTTGGTACTAGACTATTTATTGCGTCCAGTACATTCATAGCAAATTTTTTATAAATTATAGAAAAGTAGTGTTTTACACTTATTGGTTTGCCTGAGAATAATTATGTTTCTATTATATATTCAGATCAGTAAAAAAATTTCCAAGCTGCATATTCAAGTAATTAAAAAAAAATAATATTTTATAATATAATTTATGTTAGGAATATTATTCATAAAAAACATGTTTTAAGTAGTGAATATATAAAAGTGATTGATAATGTTGGACCTTTTTCTCAAAGGCATTTAAAGGACTAATCATGCTGCATTAAAAAGTTTGACAGTTATGAAAAAATTATTAAATTAAAGTAATCATAAATATAATTTTTTAGGTAGAAGTAAAAGCTGTTCCGCATAATGTATACGATGCCGGAAGCGGAGATCCGAGTAGAAAAGTTCCTAGAGTTAGTCAGCCGGAAACGGGAGTCATGACATTTGGGAGTCATCCACCACCGAACTTAGATACTCCTTACGAAATAACAGTAAAGGATAAAATGTTTTATTATGCTATCACTGTTATGAAGGTGAATACAATGCTATTTATAATAAAATATGATTAATTAAAAAATGACACTTTTTACAATGCAATGTAATTCATGTCTTTGCATGCATAAACATTGTTTAAATATAACATATAATATTCTGAAAACAATCTGTTAATTTTAAATATAGCATATAAAGTTAATAATAATATATATATATGTCTATGTTCATTGAAACAAAAATAATGCTTTACAGATGTTCTATGTGATGATGGTATATGAAATGTGTCAAAAAATGTTTAATTGAAATAAAATATGTTTAACCTTTTGAACTATTTATAACACTATTTTTGTTTGAAGGATATTTATTTTAGCATTGTCATGTTACTATAACTATTGCATAATATATGTAAATATGAATATTTAGAATTTATATTACAATTTAACTAGATAATTATCATAAACGGTTTTTAAAATAAAAAAAATAAAATATAAAAGACATACTAACTTTAAGTTTCTCATCATTTAAATGGGGGAACTTAAGGTTAGCATGTTTTCTATTTTTATTTATATATTTGTTCAGATTATGGAAGAGAGTATTTTTAATCTGTTGCCAAATGATCTGTTGGATTTTATCAGGATAGAACATAGAGTTATGTTTTAAATCTGTTGAAGTATGAAAGTGTAAAACAATACCAATTCCCAGGGTCTGTACAGACCTGGAGATTCAGGGAATAAGATTTTCAGTAGAAAAAGTCAGGGAATTTGCAAATACAGTAGAGCATCGTTTATCTGAATCAATTGGGGACTGGGGTTGTTCAGATAACTTATTTTTCGGATAACTGATTATGTACGAAAAAATATATTAACCTATCCCGTGTTGAAATTTTTCTCCGTTGCATGTTGCTTCACGTTGAATTTTCGTCGATGTTAAGTCTAATATAAACTTTTTAAATTAAAATAATAATCGTGGCTATTGTATCGTAAAAAATTATTTCTTTATTTTTTACAAAGAAAATAAATATATTGAAAAATATAAAAACAAAAAAAAAATTATACTTTAGAAGTTAATCTAGTATCAAAAACGTTCGATTCAGCACGACACACAGTCCTCAGAAAAACACCACACAAAAGTGCCATTGCTGCCAGCTAAAACACACACATCAACTAAAAAAATATTGGAGTAGCCAGCACTAGTGAAAATTTAAATTTGCCGTCTGGAATTCTTTCGGATAACCGACTTTTGGATAAACATGCTCTACTGGATGGAATCCATCTGTCACTCTCGCTCCTTTTGTTCTGAACATGTCTTTAAATTTAGTTTGATATAGGGAGGTCTACGACCAAAAGGACAGCAAGCTTTGTTGTGCTTATATCTTGTAAACTATAAATTTACAATTTAAATTTTGTTGGATAAAAGATTTGTCTCTGTATTTAAAATGATGGGTTTTGGGGGTGTGCAGCTGTTCAGGGGAGGGATAGCGATTGCACATGAACACTGAAAATGGTGACATGGTGCAGTGTTTGGGCAGTGAAGCTTTGGATTGTGAAGAGATAGGACATCGAAATTGGTGTCAATTTGTACAGAATGATAGGATCTAAAATATTATTTAGCAATAATAATTGATAAAATAGAATTTGTAAAGTTATAAATCAATAAGTGTGAAAGTTGAAGAAAATTTTCATAATGTTGAAGAAATTGCAAAGGAAATATGAACAGAAATGTAAGAAATGTATATCATTGGAAAGAAAAATTTAAAAGAATCAGAAAAACTCAAAATGACTAATGCTGAACAATGTAGATTGTGTAGAGAGCATAAGAAAACTGAGTGTGTCAACTCCAAAGTGAATATTTTAAGTGTCATTGTTCGAACTGATAGATATTATCTTTACAATAAATAAAATAATTTTCTGTAGTAGACAATACATACATAATGTGTCTATATACAATCATCCTGTAATTAAATCATTCTGGCTTAATTTTAAAAAATGTAATTCATTTTAATTGTGCTGGCACCACTAGAGGGAAATGTTGGACTATTTTACATTTGGAGGCAGATGAGAAGCCTCAAATAAAAGGTTGACTCTGCTATGGAATTTTCTTATTCCTCATCTGTGTGAGAAAGAGCCAATTATATAAAGACACATTATGTATGTATTGTATACTAGAGAAAGCTATTTTCTTTATTGTAAATTAAATTGTCTTGGCTTAATTTTAAAAGATATTGTCTTGTAATGTGATAACCATTGAGACTTTATTTGTTTATATCTTATCCTTTCATTAATAACACAAAGACAAATTCATGCCTTAAATAATTGCAATTGTGTCCCATACACAACCCTCCTAATTTTTTTTCATTTGTGTTACATCTGGATAACATTGCAATCAGTTGATGTTGTGGAAGGATACAAAGAACCATCAGTTGGCTAAACAGTATTGTGTATGGGACATTTTGGACTACATGGCAGACCTCATGCAATTTATGTATTTTTATTCCTTGTATTTTTTGCTGTTGACCACATACAGTATGTGAAGATCAACAATTTGTCAAAATTGGCTGGATTGTTATTGGGCTGCAATTTGAAAAAATTATAGACCTATAAATTCCCACTGCCATTTGTCTGTCTGTCTTTCCTTAATCTTGAGAATGGAGTTAGATAGATAAAAGCCGCAACCAGATATGGAAACCCTAGAGGCAGGAGGCCCCGATTAACTACAGTTTAATATGATTATAATGTCATCGGATGTAATGGCAACCCTAATATAATGTCAAATTTTTATTGGTCCCATGATTTTACTATACTAGATAATGTTAAAAAAACCCACTTGTAATGAGATAAAATCCTGTTTTAACATCATATTTAAATCATTCCCAGATTTACAAAATTAGATTATGAATTTTATTTAACAAGGAAAATACAGTACATAAACTGTGTTCAGTTTCTAGGGTCAAAGTCCACTTCCTAGAATGACTGTGGGTGGTACTCTCACCACCTGACTTCAGTAGTGTGAGGTTTGTCACATCTTTAAACGACGTGATGATTGGGTTAGTTTGCATAGTTACTCATTGTCATGGTGATACCTTGTATTTTTGCTGTTGACCACATACTGATTGGGCAATTTGAACTGGTAATGGATGCTACTGAGGAAAGATTGTAGAAGACCACAATTGACTAAATTTGAATTGGTGGTGCATGCCTCTCAAGGAAGAGAAGGTTAATGAAACATCACGTCATATGGTGAACCTGGAATAGAGCTATGACTAGCATAGTTGCTGATTGGTCAGCAGACGGCTTTTGACGACTATATAAGGTTGACGCAGAGGCAGGAAATTTGAGTTTTATCCATCTTGCTGACTGAGTTTTAATTCGTTATTGGTGTACCGAACGGTCATCAGTTGTGAAGCTGTTATAAATTTTAACTTTACTCTCATGTTGTGCAGCAATTTAGCAACAAATCAGGTGAAATGGCTAGCTTAAAAAGGAAAGCATTAAGGACTGCAAAGTAGAAATAATTAAAGCAGTTGAAAGTGGAAGAAAAAAGGCAGATGTATGCAAAGACTTTGGTTTAGCAAATTCTACAGTGTGCACAATAATAAAAAAACAGAGAGAAAATTTTGAAAAAAAGTGTTCAAAATGGCAAGGGACAAATGAAAAAAATTAAGTTATGTGAAAAAGCCAATATTGATGCCACTCTGATTAAGTGGTTTTACCAAATCCGAAGTTCCAACTTACCACTAAATGGACTGATACTAATGGAAAAAGCAGAAGAATTTGAATGATTACTAGGCGATACTAACTTTAAATGTTCTAATGGATGGCTAGACCGTTTTAAACAAAGACATGGCATAAGTTTTGGGAAAAATGTGTGGAGAAGCAAAAAGTGTAAATTTATTGGATGTTGAAAACTGGTTAAACTGAATATTACATAATGGAAAGGGGAAATACAGATATGTTAGTAAGTCAGGGAATAATGTCATAATTGGTCAGGAAATTACAGATGGAATTATCTGTATGGATCTTGAATTCAGAAATTTGTTGTTAATAAATAATTGTAATGGCCACTGCCCAGAACATGACTTTATTATACCTACATAGGCCTTTTTTTATGAATTTATATTTATATAAGATTTAAAAAAATGTATTATCTATTTTATGATGAGCTTTTTAGAAAACTTTTTAGACAAGGAAAGTTCAGTCAATATGATTGTTTTTGGCTAAACTAGTTAGTGTTTAGAGGCAAGTAACAAGGGATAAAAATATTAATTTAGGGAATGTGACTCATTACGTTATCCCTTACCATTATAATTTAAGACTAAATAGATATTTAAATTATTTTAAAATAAATGTAAACGAAATAAATAAATTTGTAAATATGATGTTTGTCTGATTTAATTAATTAATGAAACTCTTAAAAGCTTAGAAGGTTTAATTTAATTATTATTATAATGTATTACATATTAGTTTCGGTTTTAAACTTGTTTACCCTTCAAATTAGAAAGTTTTATATTTTCTATTAAATAAATGAAAAAATTATAACTACAGTGGGTGATCGGTTAACGAACAGATCGGATAACGAACACTTTTGCGAAAGATTTTTATGATCGGACAATGAACATATGTTCGGATAACGAACACTTCACTGAACAAACACAAGAAGCGACGTAAAATAATGAATACCGATTGGTCTTCCTTTGTCTTCAGGCAACAATTCGAAACTTTTCAGAGCGCAGGAGATGTCAACATCGACGTTCTACCCAGTATATACTGATCGGATAGTATTCCCCGAACTTTGAAACTCTCCCTTGTAATTCCAGCCTTTTTTATTTCTGACAGAAACAATTCTTTTACGTTTTCTTCTGAAAATGCGGATTTATGTCGATATCTGCTATTAAAGATCTTTTGAAGAAGTAGGAAGATGTCAGAACAACGGTCTTAAAATGGCATCCAAACCAAGTTGAGGTTAATAGGCCTAGGGATCTCTACAATTACAATGCTATTAATTACTTCTGAAAAATCATGAATAAGACAGAAAAGCAATCGACATTGGATAGATTCTTTAACCCCCACAAACAGAAAAAACATGACTAATAAAAATGCAAGACCGTGTATATATGTATTTTTATTATTACATATGAATAAACGTAGTAAAAAAGTATATACTTTTTTTTATTTTTGGGGGTCTCCAGAACGAATTAATCAAATTCCCATAGAAACCTATGTTAAATTGATAATCGGTTAACGAACAATTCGGATAGCGAACAAAGTCTTGGAACGGATTATGTTTGTTAACTGATCACTCACTGTATTTTTAATAATTAATGATTGATTGATTGATTATTATTTTTTTTATTAAAATGAACTTTTTAAAAATAATACAGGCATACGAGAATTATTCTTTCGAAGAACTAAGATACGTTTCACCTACTAAAAAACGTCTTATTGAAAATATGTTAGTCCGAGCCAATAGCGACGGCACTTACACTGCTAATTGGAATCCTGGTTCTGTAGGATGGTATTTATTGCAAGTTACTATTGATGGATTTGATGTAGGTAAGAAATTTCTTTAAATATAGTTAAGTTTATTAAAATATTAAAATTATACATTTATTATAATAAAATTTTTTGGTTATTTTACCAACATTTATGTAATTAATATGATAGTTTCAAGACTTCAATTAAGATATATAGAACTACTTTTAGAGCAATTCTATGTGATGAATGACTCAGTAATGTATCAAAAATGTAGTAATAATTTTATAACTTTGATGTGGAAGACAATAACAAAAAATATTTTTGGAGAAAATTTTTGAATTGAAATAACATGACTTATAGTTTAAACCAGAAGTTTTTATATAGTTAATTAGGGCCTCCTGTCTCCAAGCTTTTCCTATCTGGTCTCAACTTTCATCTATCTAAGTCTGTTATGAGATTAAAAAGGAGAAAGACGGATGGATGCCAATGGGAATTTATACATCTGTAATTTGAAAATTGCAGCTTGATATATTTATCGTTTCTTAATAAGATTTTAAAAATAGTATTTCAGTAATATGATTAAATTAAAAATAATAATACAGTTGCATTACAATTTAAATAGATTGCATATATAATAATTAAAATTGATATTTTATTACTGTATTTCAGGTGGTTCTCAACAGAGATCAGTTGAAGTTAAAGAACCTCCACAAGGTCTAACGCTTCCTGCCAAAAATGTTAGCCAAAAAACATCATACCAACCAAGCAAGGTATCAATCTATATTAAAGTGTGTTTCAAAATTATTTTAATGGTAGTAAAAGAAAAAGAAAATTGGAGAAATTCATGGTAAAAATAAACACACACAAATTTTAAAAATTTCATTAAGAATTGAGCAGTTTTTAAATAAGCTATGCACCACTTAATGACTGTGATATGTTCTGAGAAATATGTTACATCCTTGTTAAGCAAGTATCATTTGAAGTGACATCCTTGTTAAGCAAGTATCATTTGAGTGTATTTAGACAATCCTTATGTCGTTAGTTTACTACTCATACAATGATAAGCATTTCATGTATTTAAACATAAAAAAGATACAACTGGCTGTTTTTTGGTGCCATTTTAATCTTATGGAATCTGTGTTCTATATGTAATTCATCATTAAGTGCTGCATATCTGTACCCAGTACATTTAGAGTTCATAGTTCATAGCTGAAATTCAATTAACTGAAATCCAGATTATATGAAAGTTTTAAAAGAATTAAAATGTACATATCACAGAGAGTAAACTATAAGTGTAACCAGAATTTACTAGTCATCTGTCAATTGTAGTGCTATGAAATTAGGTCATACGTATATGTAACATCATGTTAGATTTTGAGTAAATTAATTTACTTTCAAATACAGTAATTGCATTATGGTATTTATAGTTTATGAAACTTTAAATGCATAGTGCTTGATGTACCCAAAACAAAATAAAATGAGTTTCTGAATTTTCTGAAATTTTATTTATTTGACCCCTGGTACCTTCAAGTTCAGATAATTTGAGAAGATATGGGAATATTCTTAATATTTCTTACACAATTTGTTAAATTTTATGTTGTGAAATGATTGTTGAATTTTATCATTCAAAAATGAAAAAAGTTTTTTCATGTATTGCTTTGTTCAGTCTCCAAGTAATATACTCGTAGCAAATCATATGAAATATAATAGACAAATTCATTTTATAATTTCTACTACTAAATATATTTAAAGTCACATAAAAACTTAAAATATTTACTATTACCAACTAATAATGTATATTGGATATTAATAATACAGTAGAACCTCGAAAACTCGGCTCTCGATAACCCGGCACTCCGGATAACTCGGCCACACCCTGGCAGGGCAAAAAAATCCCCAGTTAATTAATTTTCATTATAGACAGCTTTATAAAAGTATAAAAGCTCTCATAAAGTATTTTTCTGAGGTCTGTCTTATCAGGTAAATTACTGTACACAGTGTATTCATTAATTTTCATTTTCATGTAGTAAAGGCTCNAGATCGTTAGAAAAATAGGATTTATGATGATCATGAATAATACATTTTTTCTATTTTCTCATCATTTCTACATTTCCAATGATTTTCCATTACTCATCCAAGAATATTGTGATCAGGAATCTTCTTTTCCTGTTCCTTTTCATATCTCAAATATTAATAAATTCTTTGTGCATACGAAGAAAGAAGAAGAAAAATTAACGAAAAATAAAATATTTTTATGTAATTTTTTTTTTTTTTGAAAAATATAAGTTCGTAGAAACGAAAATATATATCTTTTCAAGTAAATTTTTTTTATTATTTTCTGCTGGATTTAAGTTTACTTTTCTATTTTTGCATCATTATAATATACTTTATTTACTTTTTCCTATTTTCATAATAATAAAAATAGGATTTTTTTGAGAAAAAAAGTCGTTTTCTTAGAAGATTAAGTTTATGAAATAACATAAAATAGCGGAAAAAATTAATATTGTAAACAAATGTTTAGGTTTATATTTATTAAATATTTAAATTTTTATTTTAAAGATTTCATTATTTAGTTTTTTAAAGTTTGTTTATGGGAAATTTTAAATAATATTTACACTGACTTTTATATAAATATATTTATTAAATTTTGAATTTTTTTTAAATTGTTAATTTTTTAAATAATAAAATTAAAATAATTTAATTTTTAATGAATTAAATAATAAAAAAGTCATACAACATAATTACATTTTTTTTATTTATTTACAACCGACAAAAGAGAATAAATTGCATATATTTTAATCTATTTTCCACAACCAATAATTGATTTTTTAAACTTCAAAAAAGAAAAAAAATTTCACATTAAACCGAAAACATTTGTTCTATATTTTTATATATGTATATATATATATATATATATATATTATTTAAACTACGAAAGTATTTTGCACAGGACAAATTATTATTTATTATAATAATATATAATGCTCATAAAATGTACTGCAGGCTCCTTTTTATCTAGTCTCACTTTAACTGGCTGCATTTTTCATGTGAATCAGATATCTGTGTCAACTGGGGATCAAGTAATGTTCATTCTTTTAACGTGTTTAACTTTTTTCATGTCAGTACTGTCTGTACTGTTTGGATCACAATCATTCTTCATATACATGATTTTATCATTAATATTTGGTTTTTTAAGTTATGTTTGTTCAAAATGACAAGCTCAATTCAGAAAAAACATAAATCAATTTTTTATATTTAAGTAAATGTTTATTAAATGTTTGTATATATAATTTATTTAATTTACTTTTTATAAATGGTATTTTGAATGTATTTTTGGAGTAACTAGCCATTCATTTATTTAGTCAAATGTCTGGTCCCATAAAGGTTAGTTAATTGGGAATCTACTGTAATAGAAATTCTGACACTTATTTATATGTATTTTTAAATATGTAGTTTTAAAACAAAACTGTGTGATTGTGTTGGATTTTACATATTTTGGAATAATGCCTTATTTTAAGTAGCTTATAGTCTATAATAACAAGTAAAAATTGAATTTCATTAGATGAAACTTTTATGAATTTTTCAATTATATGGATTTATATCTTTCAAATATAATGATATATTTGGTAAATTAAAAAGTTATTTAAAACATAAGAAATTCCTTAGCATATTAAATATTCCTGTTTGCTATATTAAGTATGTAACATTATGTATAATAATTAATTTAATTATATAAACTTATATAGTTGATATATAATTCATTGCATTAATTAATATTTAATTAAAATATTACAACATTGTTTTTGAATTTATTATTTTTAATAAATATATTTTCTGTAGGTTCGTAAGTTTTGCACTAAATATAGTGCAGGATTAAGAATAAGAAGTCATCCTTCTTTACAAAGTGAACAGATTGGTATTGTTCAAGTTAATAGTACCATAACATTTGTTGATGAGGTTTGTACATAAATCATTTAAGATATTTTTTTTTATTAACATTAAGTATAGGGTGTTTGAAAAGTTATTGTGCAGTGAGAAATTTGTAGTGACAATAAAGTTATATATATGGTATTGAATAAGAGACCTGTAAGTTGTCCATTAAGTTCCAGTTGAACAATTATACATAAGGTATTGCATACAACTAGAAGGTCTTGTATGCAATACTGTACATATAACTTTTAATTCCATTACAAATTTCTCACGCCATGGTAACTTTTCAGACACTTGATATCTATGAATAGGTTAGGTTTTTTTATTAAAAAAATATAATAAATTATAAAATATCTTTTTCTGCTTATTCTGGCAATGTCCATTTCAATATTATTTAATAATGAACAGTTCTGTGTCCTAAAATATATGAATAGAAAATGTTTATAAACTGATTAAACAAGTTTAAATTTTTGTGATTTTATTAATATCAGTTGAAAATTATTCAGTTAATATTTAAACGTTTATTATACTAATAAAAAGGTATCTGAAAAATTTAGAATCATAGGAGGCATTTTTTTTCAAGTATACAATATATATTTTCACAGAATTCATTTGACATCAATACATTTACATCTTTAATACATCTCAATACATTTAGACATCCTTTCAGACAAAGCACAGTACTGTGTTTCTCTGAATTTGATAAATGTCGACAGTGACAATAATTCATTCTTGCAAATGCACTGTGTTTTGAACTAGTCAAAATGTTAATCCTCCTTTATTCTGTTATATATAAAGAAACATGGTACAGTAGAGCGTTGTTTATCCGAAAGCCGATCAACCGAAATGTCGGTTAACCGAAAGCATTCCAGTCAGACTGTGTCGTGCTGAATCGAACGTTTTTTATATTAGATTAACTTCCAAATTATAATTATTTTGTTTTTATATTTTTTAATGTATTTATTTTGTTTGTACAAAATAAAGAAATAATTTTTAACAATACGATAGATCACGATTATTATTTTAAAAAATTTACGTTAGGCTTGACATTGACAAAAATTCAACATAAAGCGACACGCAACAGGGAAAAATTTCAACATGGGATAGATTAATATATTTTTTCATACATAATCGGTTATCTGAAAAATAAGTTATCCGAACAACCCCAGTCCCCAATTGATTCAGATAAACGGCGCTCTACTGTATTATATTTCATTTGTAAAGGTGACTAGAGGTTGAAGGAAAACATGTTAAGCATTTCTTTGAATATGTTCAGGATGTTTAGTAAAGTCCATATAAACTCGCATAACTGACAATCACAGATAGCTACAGTTATGAATGTGATGAATGGTTATAGTAAAGTGACTATGTATTACAAGACAAGACCACTTGCAGTGCCCCTAGTGAAGAATTTGGAAGTTAACACTTCTGTCTTGAAAATAATGCACTATATTGAAAAAAGTCAAGTACAGAGTTGTAGAGCATGATCAGTTTAGTACAAAAGGACATCCTACATACATGAATTGCATGAATAGAAATGCTAATGTGCACATAGGGCACAGATAGTAAAATGCATATTATTTACGTGCTCATTTATGTGTTCTCATTCATTTCATATGTGCTTGTTTATAATGTGTATTTCTCATTTTCCTGTATATTCATGCTGCATTTGCTAATGTATGATGTATGTGGTGCATCGTTGATATGTCAGTATATAAGGACTTCACTATGCACACTATATATTGTTAATTTTATATTATTATATTCTAGACTCATTAGATACACTATATAATTCAATAAAAAATTACAATAATGTAATGTAATCAGTATTTAAGCATTATTTATAATTTTTAAGAGTGTAACTTAATATTATTATTTTAATTTAAAAATTTAATATTTAATAGATACATAATGATGATGGTGTTTGGATAAGATTAAGTACAGAAACTGTAAGAAAGTACTGTCAGAATGGATATACAGAAGCATGGTGTCTGCAATATAATCAGCATTTAGGAAAAACTTTACTTGTACCTGTAGATGTAAGTTAACAAAATATATTTTATAAATACATATATTAAATGTGTTTTCAGAATAATTATTATGTAGGAAATAACTATCATTAAGAATAAAGTTCACAAAGAAAAGCAGAAGACAAAGTTTATCTATAATTTTATTCCTGATTATGTGGTTGAAGTGGTTAAAGCATACAGTATCTGCCACACTAAAGATCTGAGTTAAAATTTGGCTCAGATTCTCATGAAGTTTACTTTGATAATTTGGTCTGGAAAACATTAGATTCTGTTGCTCATTATTTAATTGTTTATTATTGATTTGTAATAAAGTCCTTTCTGTAATAATTTGAATGCTAAACTGATTTTTAAAAATTGTTTTTAGATTATTTTTCATATATTTGTGTGACCAGAGGGTTGATATCTCTTTGTGCCTCGTCAAAACTGACACCACTGTGTCTTTAGGATAGACACAGAAACTGCAATTTTAGAGTTTGCTTGAGTGGTTATGTGCGCGGGCGATCAGATTCAGGATGGAGGAGTGTTGAGAGATGGATTAGAAGTGATTCACTTGGATACGAGGTTAACAGCAAAAATAACTAATTTAATGTAACAGAAAAGAATACATGACTGACCAATCGAGAGAGAGAGAGTTTACATGACATTGCATGTCATTATAAATACCTGGTTCACTGGATATTCCAAATGGTCATGGAGGCATTGGGGAGGCCGGGAAATGTCTTTGAGAATGTCTTTAGGGCCTTGAACGGTGATTAAAGTCTATCGGAAGTTAAAATCCGTCGGTTCTTCGTAGGTGTTTCTGGAGAAACACAGGATGTTTGGGAGGAGTGGCAGCGGTGGATGATGATGATAAATCCTTTCGGATGGCACTCAGGAATATTCTCTTGGACTCTTGGACTCTTGACACCCTCTGGTCCCTGAATTCCTTTTTTTATTTTTTCAAGTCATGTTGTCTCTCTCCACCAATAGGGAATTTTTTTGCCTTAGTTTCCAGTGACACATTCTGAGTTCCCTGTGAAAGGAAACAACTCGGGAAGAGAAATGCACTCATCTTCTGGTAATAAAAAATGGAAAAAATTTTCTCTCAAATTTCGTTAGGTCCAGTTCCTCACATTTGTATTTAAGTAATATTTTAATTTTTAATAATATAATATTTTTTTATTTTAGTCTTGAGAACATTCCTTCAAATTGTTGTACTCATTTAACAATAATGTTTTTTAATTTGTTTATCTAATTAAAGTTTATTTTTTGCTGGATTTTCTGATTATTGTGTATGTATACATAGTCCTGAAATTAAATGACCACATATTGTAATTATAGTATAGTTTTTATTAATACTGATATGATTATCAAGTTGTTTATACAAGGTGTGACAATTAAATTCCAGGACTGGGGTAATAAAAGGACACAAAGAACATATAATGAAAAACCCTTTTAATATGTTTCAAAATAATCCCCCTGGAGGGCAATGCACTTCTCGCAATGCTTGTACAAGTTCTTGAAATGCTTGGCAAAGTCACTTCCATTGACAGCTCTCAAATCCTTGGTCACATTGCGCTGTATGTCCTCCAGGTCATTGAATCTTCATTCCTTCAATGTGATTTTGGTTTTTGGAATCCAGTAAAGAGGGGTCATCTTGAATAACATCTTGAATAAACCATTGATACACTTCCAGCCGGAGATGCTTTTGGTCCTCAGTGAGATAGTGCGGAATGAAGCGGAAGTAGATTTTTCTTTTGCCCAAATCTTCGGTGATGATTAAGTGAGTTGTCTCCAGATTGATGCCAGTTGTCTCTGCTATCATCCAAATAAATATTTGACAGTCATATCGCAGCAAGTCTCTGATTTTTTCGATGTTTTCTGGTGTTTGAACTGATTGAGGTTGTCCAGGCTGAGCATTGTCCTCAAGGTCTTCCCGACCATCCCTGAAATATGCAAACCACTCGAAAACACGAGAGCGCGATAGGGCATCATTCACATAAACTTGCTTGATGAGGACATATGTCTCTGTTGCACTTTTACCCAACTTGTAATAAAACTTAATGTTCACTTTTTGTTTCATAACAAAAACGTGACAGCACTTTCTTACAGCAATATGTGAATGGAATACAGAAAAAGAATGAGTTATGAGACATGAAGAAATCTTTGCAGACAAGTAGCCAGATGGTTGAACTATTATGACAAGCTTAGACAAGTTTCTGCATGCTGACACTGCAGTGTTACATGACCAGACCTGGAATTAAGTTGTCACACCTTGTATATGTGAGCATGTGGCTTACAAGCCACATTTTCTAGTCCCATACTGTGGCTCCCATATACTTATACAATTTCTTCTTATAAACTTGCTGCTGCTTACACCTAAATGATAAGTTTTTTTGACTATTAACTAGTGTAATATATGCAGAGATTGTAAGTTAACTTGCAACTTAACCTTGAACAGACAATTGAAAGCTTTACATTTGTAAAGTCAAAGGAGTTAAATGATTGTTTATCTAGTTAGTCATAAAGTACCATTAAAATAAAGTAACAGTGATTACTACAGTATTTTAACTATATATAATATCTCCAAAAACATACCTGTAAACATTACAGGTACAGACAGTATAGAGGTACTATCATCAAGCATGCATAGATCAATTGTTTTCAAATTATTACCATTTCATCTTAGATGCACACAAAACACAATAAAGTGTGAAACCTTCATTCAATGACTACGTTTTACATTCATAATTATTTCGGTGTGGAAAGTTGTGGTATTGGGGACATCAAGTAATCATTCCAAATCAAAAGCTGTAACAGTGGTTTCAAGAATTTTCATTATATTCAGTTTGGTATTAGTGCCAATGTCATTTTTAATAAAACAATATTTCGGTTTTCAAATGCACACTTGGTTCAGTTCCAACAATTCCAGTTTAAGAGGTGGAACTGGATTTTTCCCACCTGTAATCCAGAGTTCAAACATTATATTAATATAGACTAATATGATTTAAATAAGTTTAATATTGTGTTATTTAAAAATTAAAATTTTTTTGTCCTGTTTTTAGTGGTCATTTTGCAAAACATAACTTCATTGACTGAAAGAGAAAAGAAGAATTTTTAATTGAAGTGAAAAATATTGAAAAAAATTGATATCTCAGGAACGAATGGACAGAACTGGATGAAATTTGATACATAGGTCGAAAAATAGTGGCAGATGATGATGATACTCATATTTTGTTTGGATGATTGGTATATCGTTAGTTTTTTAATGAAATATGAATTGGAATAGACAGAAAGTGTTCCAATTTCAGTATAGTAAGGTTTGCTTTGTTAAGCCATTCATTCATTTGTTTGCTCACTTACTTGATGGCTTGCCTCTACCAAGTCTTATGATAAAGAGATGAGGTGGCTCTCCAAAATGCATTCCAATAGAAGATGCAGTTCTTGTGTATAGCTCCTCTCTGACAAGATTTGGCCATCCCTACTATACAATTTTCTGATGAATATATAAATTTATATTTGTCTAATATTTTACCATAATATTTTGTTATTGTTTTTAATTTAGTAAATCTAATTATTAACTAATGTTAATCTTTGTTGATTAATATTACTATTAATACTTCCCAATAAATTATATCAGTATTCATGATAAATTATTGCTTATTTAAATAGCAATTTCTATAACTTTAAGTTCAAAAATGCATGACTGTTAAGTAATAAACAGCATCATTTTACTATAATAATTCATTCTTTTGCAAAATTAAAGGAGAGATAGATTAATTAATTAATTTATTACATAATTTCATAGTTAATGCACTAAGTAAACCATAGTTTTGAAATTCTGTATGTTGCTGAACTTAATTATAATTAAATCTCCTTACAAATTAGCATATTTTATAAGTTAATAGTTTCAGATCTTTGAAATCTTGAATGGATAATAAAATAAATAAGTATAATAAATTATTGTTTAGTATTACCTGTAACCATGGGTGTCTATAGAAAATTTTCCAGGGGGCAAACCTTGGAGACAAATAATTATATCAATACATTTTTATTTAATCATGTAATTCTTTTTTACAAGTAGATTATAGTATCCATAATGCATCAAAGCATCTCATGGTCAAAGATGTAAGGTTATATATCTTGATCACTTTTATAATTTATGCAATTTTTTACTCAATCGTGGGAGGTCAAGTGCTCCTCTGTGAACAATCATGTTTGTAACTATGGCTAAAATGTAGTAGAATGTGTATAAATATTTTTATTTTTACTAATTAAATATTTTAAAGTAAATTTTCAGTTATTTTAAAACAGTTGAAAATAAATATGCTTGCTTATGTATTTCAAATAGGAACCAAAGTCAGTCTTATCGGAATTTTTTAAAGAAAAACCGTCGCCTGTTAAAAAATCTCTTGACGATTTATCGAAGGATCGGCCACGCTTAAAGAGAGGTATATAAAATATATGTATAAGTTCAAGAAAATATATTATAATTATATGAATTAATGTAAAAATACTAAATAAAAATAATTTATTTTAATAATGTTTTGGTTTATGATTTATTAATATAAAGTTTATTATTTATGATGATTGTATGTAAATTTCAGTTTTTTAGAAGACATACACAATGGTAGATAGTTAAACTGATCTGCTGTTCTACTGCTGTTATATATTTTCATGTAATTTAATGCTTTCATGCAATTTGTTATGCAATTATTTCATAATTATATTTTGTTGACTTAATTATTATAATAAGACCATCAAATAATACAAAATAACATTAAAAAAATTATAATATTCTGACCTATATTTGATTATGTTGTAAACTCTATCCAATTTTGTTAAGTAACTGGAAAATCTAAATGCTATTTCCTTTAGGAATGATATCCTGTCTGTCCATTTACTTAAAGAGGCTATTCTTAGAGATTTAACATGGTAATGCATTGTAAATCTAAATCATCTTAGTGGGAGTATACAAATGGTCAAATGATTAATGTTGTAAAGCTACTAAAATGATAATTTACACCTGACATTTAATTTGTGAAAATAATAAAAACACGTTGTCTTTTGGTGTTACTTTAGTTTAATTCAAATAAAATGGCATAAAAATAATTTCAAGATTGAATTAATGTTTAAAATGCAAGTTTTGTTTAAGAACTCTTGTTTGGAATATGAAAGAAATTTGATTGGATATGTCAACATATTCCAAACAGTTCTTAAATGAAACTTGAATTTTCTTAATGATTTTCGAACAACAGATGAAAGATTATTAGCCTATCACTCTGTGGGAGATCTGGCTTCAAGTACAAGTCAGGAAACTCTGGAACTTTTCTATGTCATATATATCAGGCCTCAATCTTTCACTACACATTCATTCCCATTATGGAATATGAATCGATATAATAATTTTCAGATTAAACAAAACATACATAATTATTATATCGATTCATATTATATGATCAATACAACTTCAAGTCTTACTGAGTTGTTGATAAAGATATATAATTCTTTTGATCTCTCCTTATTTGATAACCTTAAATTATGGCAAAGTAGAAGCTTTATAATAATGCTATCCTGGAATAAAGGCCTGATATTGTTATTTATACAGATTTAAATTTAGAATTTTGAACAGTCTGAAAACATTAGTAGTAGTTCAAAATCAGAATTAGATTCGGCATGCCAATTAGGTATAAATAATTATTACCAATGAGTATATTCCAATATGTATCAAACAGCCCATTGGTGAACCATAATGTACTGAAATGTGTTCTGATGTTTACTGATGAGTTCATTGGTATAGCAATTGATGCACATCATACTCATCAGACAACAGGGTGAGCTCAGATACCGTGTTTCCCCAAAAGTAAGACATCCTCTGGAAATAAGACCTAGCAGAGACTTTGCTGAATTGCTAAATATAAGGTCTCCTTCCGAAAGTAAGACCTAGCAAAGTTTTCTTTTTACTCATAACAGTCATCGACAGTACAGCCATTGGTTGGTCAGCAGACAATCACGCCACATGGCATGATTTGCATAAGACTATGACTTGGGAATCGCAGATTTGCATAACGTTACAGCTGGTGATTGCTAATTGGTTGGCCGGGAATCATGCAACATCACACTTGCATAGTGTTACAGTTCAGTAAGCACTAATTGGTCATTGAGCCCGATGTTGACACTATAAAAAAGTTAAGTTGAAGCGAGAGTGGGAAGTCCACTCCAGCACGAAAATTTCGTAAGTTCACTTCGGTTTGTGACTTCGTTTTATTTAAGTTCAGTTCGACATAACCGGATATACGTCACTCTCATCTAAGTTTGACTTGGGAATTTTTTTGTTTAACAATAAATGTGAATTCTTCTTCATGGAAAAATAAGACATCCCCTGAAAATAAGACTTAGCGCATCTTTGAGAGCAAAAATTAATATAAGACACTATCTTATTTTTGGGGAAACATGGTAAAGCAATATTGCCACCTCTTTTTAAAAAAATTGACTGACGAATTTACACATTAATAAAAAAAATATGTTGATAAACCAAAATTTCTTCACTTTTGCTATGTCCAATCACCACGAATGACAATGTTCCACTGCAGAGACCTTTCTTTAGAGATTATGCCGTCTGCAAAAACATGCAAAACAGTCTAAAAGTTCCCCAGAACAATTAAAAATACAATATTTCTTTTCAAAATATATATATTTAATTGTTTTGGGCTTGTCATTGTAGAACTTTTAGACTGTTTTGCATGTTTTTGCAGAGGCATAGTCTCTAAAGAAAGGTCTCTGCAGTGGAACATTGTCATTCGTGGTGATTGGACATAGCAAAAGTGAAGAAATTTTGGTTTATCAACATATTTTTTTTATTAATGTGTAAATTCGTCAGTCAATTTTTTTAAAAAGAGGTGGCAATATTGCTTTACCATGTTTCCCCAAAAATAAGATAGTGTCTTATATTAATTTTTGCTCTCAAAGATGCGCTAAGTCTTATTTTCAGGGGATGTCTTATTTTTCCATGAAGAAGAATTCACATTTATTGTTAAACAAAAAAATTCCCAAGTCAAACTTAGATGAGAGTGACGTATATCCGGTTATGTCAANTGTATTAATATTTTTTTATTTTGATATTTATACATCCAAATTTAAAAAATTCCAGGACCTGGTGTATACCATGTAGTCAAATGTGGTGCTTCTGGGCATAATATTCGAAGTAGACCTAGCTTGAAAGCTTCTCCTGTTGGCATGTTAGTTCTTGGCAACACAGTTAACATCATGAAAGATGTAAGTTAAAATTTATTTTATATTATTTGTTTTCTACCTTCATCTAAAAACTTCTTTAGCAGTAACCGAAATTCTTTAGCAATTGGTAGAGGTTTAGAAGAAAACTGTAACTGTTTTGGTCTAAACCTCTACCAATTGGTTATTTGTGATAATTATTTAATTTAGGACAATAAGTAAAAATAAGATTGTCTTGATTGTGATGAAAATTAAAGAATGTATATTAGGGATTAAATTTTTTTAATAGAGACTAAAGGTTTTAAGATTCATTACTTTTTAGTAAGTAAAGAGTTCTAAGAAGTCTATAAATTAATGATAAGATAGTACATTTGTTATGTTTAAGTGCTGAAATACAAATTTCATTTTGAAATTTCCTTATAGAGAGCCACATCTCTCATTACTGCATTACTGACACAGAAAGGATACTATATATTTTTGTATATTTCATTCATTCAATAACAATAAATGTTTTTTTTAAAAAGATTCTATATTTATAGATGTGTAATATGGACGGAACATGGGTGAAGTTAGATAAAGAAAGCATGCAAAGATACTGCTTTAATACAGATGGCGAAGCATGGTCTTTATCTCAGAGTAGAACTGATATTATTTATCTACAACATGAGGCTGAAATAATGCAAGCTGGAGATAGTGATGAAGAAAAGGGAAAAGTCTCTTCGAAATTTGGAATGGAAACTAATTTACCGGCAGAATCTCCCAACGTTCCATTTAATGCAACGTACGGAAATAATCGTGGTTATGATTTTGCAGCAGCTGCACAGCAGCAACCAATTTTTGGGCAGAATATAGGTAAGGTTTATAATTTTTATTGTATATTGTCAAGGATTCATCGTCATCAATTCTTTTCCGTAGATTTCAAGTGTCCGAACGATGTGGCTGTATGCAATACAAGAAGTATAACATTTTGTTATTTAGATTTCTAATTAAAATATAAAAATTGTATTATTATTTATTAACTTTTTATTTATTTAAATTATGATTAAATTATGATATTAAATTATGTTACAAGATGTTTTTATGTAATGAAAGAATTTAACTGATATTTATTTAAAATATAAACTTTCATTTATTTTAAAGGGCATAAAATTTCTTGAATTTAAATTTTTATTATTTGGATTTATTAATTTAAAATTTAAAAATATCAAGGAAAAAAAGAATAATATAATATGTATATATATTATATTGTAGAGATGGTAGTCTGGCAGTGAAAATTGCTTAGTAATTATTTAGTCTTATACTCCAATAAAGAATCCAAATGTTCATTCAGTAATAGAAATTTAAATTTAATGGAAAATTTAATACGTAAATTTGACACTAACTTCATTCAAACTTATTGTAACTTGTAAAAGTACATTTTATTTGAATAAATCATTTCATAAACGAAATATTTTAAATTTTAAATTTTTAATTTTTATACTGATTTCTGAACACATTTAAAGTAGAATCAAATTTAATTATTTTATTTTAGGTATGTTTACATTTGGAAGTGGAACTTCTGATCAAGAAGGTGGTTCTTCAGGGTCTGCTAGCCCTTTTGTATTTGGTTCACCAGGTATGATATTTTAGAATAGATTATTATATCACTGAAACTAGTAAAGAATTGTTTAAAGGTAAATAATTAAATAGTATATGTTTAACTGATTTTTTAAAATTTTTATGATGTATCTTGAAAAAGAATAAATAAATAAATACAAAAGCATAAAATACAGCAGTTTATGAATAAAAGTATTGTGCTCATACTTAGTAAATACTATGAAACAGTAGAATCTCACTAATCTGGCGCTATTAAAAACCAGTAGGGCCAGATTACTGGAATGTAAGAGTAGGATTTGATAAATAAAACATGTACCATACTGTACATAATATGTGCAAGTTGTCATAACCTGTATTATTAAACTTTTTTTAATATACAGTTATTAGTTACAGGAAGAAACTATATACATTATTTTAATGTTACATTGTACTTTTGTATGCTATTATGAATTTGATATCAAATAATTGTTGCTTAGAAAATTAGTTTTGAATAGGTTTTCTCTTTGCAACCATTCTAGCCTTTAAATATTTTTTATCATATTCTTTGTGAAAGCATGGCTTCTTCAGCTGGAATTATATTCCATAACACTCACAAAAATGTCTTCTGCTAAATTCCACATTCTAATGTGACTTGGTATCATATTACTAGATGTGCCAGAGAAGTGAAGTGCTGGATTAGGGAGATTCTACTATATTCTATTGATTTTGATAAATATAATAAAACAACGTAATATAAAATAGAGATAAGGATATTAGAAGATTATTTCAAATAAATAAGCCTATAATACAAAGATACTATAATACATTTATTTTGCAGTAAATAACTTGTAATCTATTATTGTAATCTATTATTATATGTTATTACAGTGTCCTCTTCAGGTCTTTCTTTGCTAGGCTCCCTGCCAGATGATTTTTCTAGATGCCTGGCTGACACATGTTCTTCCACAAATCTGGCCTATTCTGGCAAACATTCTCTCTCAAACGCCCAAGTAATATTGTTTGTTGACTGTCCCTCTAGAAGAAATTTTGAGTGGAAAACACCACGACAGTCAATGAGAACATTCAACATGACTTTGATTTTTGAGCTACTTTGATGTGGTTTTTTCAGTTTTGACACATTCTTGAAGTGCTGTTCAGAAGCTTTTAGGCTGGTTTGCATGTTAAACTCATAAATCCACATCTTGTTACTTGCCATGATGCATTCCATGAATGTGGGATCTGAATTGGCTCATTCAAGCATGTCTTCAGCAATCTTTTTCCGGTGCTCTTTTTGAAGAAAATTTTGCTTCTTCAGAACAAGTTGTGCTGTGACACATCTCATGCCAAAAATGTCAACTAAAATGGTGCAAATGAATTTATGAGACATGTTTAGATTTTAAGCCATCTCTCTCAAGCTTGAATAACGATTTTCCATTACCATTTCCTTCACTTTGTCAATGTTTTTGTCTGTTTAAGATGTTGAGGTTGACCAGAACAAGGAAAGTCTTCCACCACTTCTCAGCCAACTTTAAATGCTGTGTTTTGGATAAAACTGATTCATTGTAGACCTTCCGAAACATTTTTAATGACTCAGCATAAGAAATTTCATTGGCATCACAAAACTTTAGACAAACTTTTTATTCAATATTTTTGTTCATTTTAAAAATTGCAGAGCACACTTCACATTCAATGACAAAAGCAACAGTTGTAAATGAACTGGTTGACATATTGCACTACAAATTCACATGACAATTAAGTACACTAGTATCAACATACAGAAAAAAGTTTGTTTTCATATCTTCTACATAGGCTTTTGAAACGGACAATTTCCGATATTTATTTGACAGAATGTATATAAAAGAAGCTTTGTTTTATGATAGGCTGAATGTGATAAACTACATATATTGAAAAATTTATACTTCAGATTTGTTAAGTATGAATGTAACTAGTATTAACACAATATATCACAAAATTAAATTTTCCATATTCAGTAATGAATTCAAAGTTTATAATAAATACATTTAAAAATTTATATGCAAAATCAAAGTAATGAGCACCATTGAATAATTTTCCTCAAAATCTGATGATTACAAACATCTGTGTTTGAAACAGGATTGAAACTCATAATCTGATGAACTAGAAACAATGCCCTAAACATTCTGTTGCTGAATCATTCAAATTAATTTTAAAAAAATCAAATTAATTTGTATTTATTTTAGAAATACTAGATTATTGTTTTAATTTATGACATTTTTAATCATATTTTAAAAATTTATTAATATAATAAAGGATATACCTTTTAGTTTCTACTCCATCGACTTCAATGAACACATTGGCAGAATCAGAAAAAACAGAAACGGATCGTTCCGAAAAAGATTCCTTGAGTAGTGGAGGAAGGGTAGCAGCATTACAAAAATGGTTGAAGGAAGAAAGTGTCCTAAGAAATACTGAACCTTTTCGTAATTCTTTACCTCGTGATATTCCACCTGAATTGCAAGGAGTATCTGTAAAAGATCTAGTTAAAGCAATCGGTGAAAGTAGAGCTAATGGAAATACTGCAACTCCACCTAGAACACCTCCCAATACACCACCTATTCCTCGTCGAAGCTCCAGAAGTTCTAGTCCTATGTCTGTGGTGGGAATTCCCAGGATATCATCTAGTCGCAGTTCGAGTCCTATCGCTGTTCCTACCACTAGATCTTGTAGTGAAGGTCAGCATTTAGGTGGTGTGATATTATCATCATCGTCATCATCTCCCCCTGTAAGTGGTTCTCCCAAAAATGTTTTATCTCATGCTGCTTCGGTTCAAGAAACCTGGGGAAATTCTCCTCCAACAGTTTCACCTAAAACTTCTGGATTGCTTAGAAGAAGCTCTTTACAAAGGTGATTTTTATTTGTATATTTGTGTATATTAAAAATAAATCTAGAATTATTTCATGATTACTGAATTAATTCTTTACTTATTAAAATATTTTAGGAGAAAAATTTGGTTGTTAAATCAACTGATTATAATTATAAGTTTTTTTAAATATTTTCTTGGATTTTATATGTATATTACTACAATTTATATCAAATACAGCAATAAATATTCTAGAAGAACTTTGGCTTGAAGTTGGGTAATATAAGTAGCAATTCATACAAAATTGCACAGGCAAAAGTTTACACATTGAATTCAAATCTAGATTTTCACAGATAAATTTAGTGAAACATTATTTCAAATTTATAAATTACTAATTTTATTGATATATTGTCTGTAGCGAAATTTTCTACTCATTAATTAAGTTAATTAGCCCAAAAATTTTCACCTTATTATTCTAAGTTCTAAATATACTTTCTGAAGTAATGAAGAAGCAGCTATTGCTCAAACAGGTAAACAATAATCTTTCATGGATTGAAAATTTGCAAGAAATATTGCATGAAGGGATGATAGGAAATGGGCAGCGGTGATGCCATAAAACACCTTCGAAAATTGATATTTTAACAGAAAGAATACAAATATTAAATGTAAATTTTTTATTGAATGGGATGCCAAGATTGTTAAGTATATAATAATTTTTAAAAATGCTATTAATATAAAAATTCAGGTGATCTTGATTATGTAGGAGAGAGAGAGAGACATTTATTCAGAGCAATTTTACACATGAAACAGTTTTGTTTACAATAATTTTAATATTTTAAGATCATCAGCATATGATGTAATCTCTGAATCAGTAAAAGAGATAGCAGCATCAAGATAAGCAATAAAGAAGAGATTACTTAATATGAATCCTTTGAATGTTCTATAAAGGGTAGAAAAATCGGAATATTATAGTTGCACTGTTTTACTGAAAATGACTGTAGCAGGAAATACTTGTTAAATGATATAATTAATGCATAACATATAATATATTTTATTCATATTGTATCTAACAGATTTTTTTTCTTTAACAGTGATACCAGTGTTAGTTCTCATTTTAGCAGTATTTTAAAAGAATTATCACAAAGTTCAGCAACTGGATGCATAGGTTGTATTACACAGAGGAATACAATAAGTCCAATTAGTACTCCAGGAACTCCAGGGACTCCGTGTACTCCCGGAACTCCCAAAAAGGTGAAATTAATGTTGATTAATTTTTTATTAAAAATTCTAACGTTAATTAAATTAATATTCTAATGTAACAATAATGAATTAGGTTTACAATGAAACTGTGTATTGAAATCACATTAAAAAAGAAATTATATTTTAACTAAATAATAGTTTTTAGATAATAAAACATTTGAGTGTTAAGAAATGTTTTTATTAACTTTTTCGTAGGAAGAAAATGCTCAACAGTTTTTTGGTGATAAAATATTTTAAGTAAGAGATTTGATCTGTTACTTAAAATATAATAGTTTGTCAGTTTATATTATTTTTTAATTATTTCTATTGATAAAATTTTTCTTAACTTCAATGAACAGTAAACATATAAAGTTCATTTATCTCCTAACTCACCTGATAATCTTCATTTCAGTATCCATAAGATGTTTCTAAAGTCTTCGACCAAAATACTTTCACACACATTTTGAAAATGTTAAGAAAAGAAATTTAATGATTAATCAGTGGTTCGTAATTTTTTTAGACTCATGGCATACATTTACAATCATAAAGATTACAGCACACCTTATTATTAAATATGAGGACTGGCCAACAAAATATTGGAATGTTATTTGTGCAGCTAGTGATACATGATACTAATATATGGATGGTCACACTAGCAGGATGATTCTCCAGACTGTGGTTTTCTTGTCCATTTTTTTTATTATTGATTTTTAACACACAACTGTCTCTTTACCTGTATGTTTTATCAAGCCTATTCATGAGTTATATTAGACCAAATGGTGCTATTCATGGATTTATAGCTAACTATAGCAAAAATATGATTGCTAGGTTAGCTAAAAATGTGGAGATTAACATTAATGGATCATGGCTTAATAATGATATACAGTGTTTAGAAGTTTTATCTCAAAAATTTATAGCTGTGGACTATGACCCAAGGCTGACTTCCACACACAAAACTTCAACAATGCATATGAATGCCAGAATAGTTTATAGATGTAATCCAATTATTTTTAGGCTACCAGCTAATGGTAAAGATTCTATAGACAGAAAATTAGCTTCTAGAGTATACACTATCTCAGTGTGGGATGATAGGTTTGGTTAAAGGACCATACATAGCATTACTAAAAGGTCATTAATAAAAGGCTCGGGGAGCATAAACACAATGTTTGTACAAATAGTCCACAGTTGCCCAGTTTGCGAGCGAGCTGGGGCTGTCAGCATGTTGGGACCAGGCTAAATTATTTAAGAAAGTGTTGTTTGACGTCAACAAATTAAGATCAATGGAAGCTTTTGAAATATTTCAAGCATCTAGAAAGCATGAATGCATTAATTTCAGTGAGAAAGAATTGTTATCCAAAGCATGGCAGTCTCTAGTTGATAACGTGATGAAGCAAGAGAACAACATAGGTTCAACTTAAATTTCTATTAATAATGTGTGTCATTTATTTAATTTTATTTTCATTTTAATATTTTTAAAATACACAAATTGTTTGTTTTTGAATTTAGTAAATTTAAAAAAGCAGTTATAGTTCTACCATTAGAATTCAGTTCTTTTCGTCAATTTGTATTTTAATATGTTTTTAACCTGAGGCAGACCTCTGAACATTTGTTTTTATTAAACTAGTGCTAGAGAAGTGTTTAAGGTGTAGTGCGATTTCTAAACTTTCATATTGTTTAATATTAAAAAATAATAATTATTTTTATAAATAGTTATAGCAATTTTTATTTATTTCTATTTTTAGGAAATGAATCCAAATGCAAAGTCAGTAACACAAACTGGCACTCAAACAAGTCCTGATGGTGTAAAAGGCCATTTTAATATTGGAACTGCTGGTAGTAAAGACGAATCACCTAGAGTCTCTCCTAAACTCTCACGAAAGGAACGATCGTCTCGACAGTTTCGTAACAAAAGAGAAAGAGCGCAGTCTCCTGCACCCATATCTCATGACAAAAGTATGAAAGATAAACATTCTTCAAAAGAAAGTATTAAAGAAGCTATGTCGCCTTCGGTTGCAGAATGTTTACGTGCTGTATTTGCTGCATTTTTATGGCATGAAGGAATTGTGCATGATGCAATGGCTTGTGCTTCTTTTTTAAAATTTAATCCTCATCTTTTAAAACAAAGTACAAAATCTCATGCAAAAATTCGAGAAAAATCTGAAACGTCGCAGTTAACAAAAGAACAGAAAGCACGGTTAAGGTACTCTGTTGAGGTATCATCACCCATTTTGTTAAATATACCACCATCTTCACTAGAGCCAGTAACTTCCCCATTAATAAATGCAAATATTAATAAAAACAAATTGAGAAAGACTACTTTACCTATTAGAGAAGAAAGTATGAATGATACTATGTCTTCTAAAGATGTTCATTCACATGTAAAGTCTAACGATTTAAGTTATTTACAAACTCATAAAAGTAACGAAAAATCCTTATTACCTCAGTCTCTTCAGCATTTAGTAATTCTCTGGGAACAAATTTCGGCTGCTTCATTAAGAGCAATTGTCCAACAACTTATATTACCTAGTCCTGTTACTGAAAGTAAAGTATTTCAAAGATTAGAAAAAGAAAGAAGTGAAAGGGAGAAGGAAAAAAAGCAAAAAAAGAAAAAGGAATACAGACCAGTTCTTTCCTCGAGAGGAAACTTGTTTGGAGATGCAGCTAGTGGATCATTGGGTGGTTTGGAAAGAGAAACAATGTGTGAATTATGTGGCATCTTTTATCCTCATCCTGTCACTTATCATATGCGCCAGGCCCATCCTGGTTGTGGTGATCATGCTGGTGGAAAAGGATATAACAGTGGTGGTAATTTTTGTGGTGGGTGGGCTGGAAATTGTGGTGATGGTGGTATTGGGGGAAGTAGCTGGTATTTAATTTGTGATAGATGTAGGGAAAAATATTTACGTCAGAAAAGACAAGTTATGATGAAGGAAAAAGTCAGAAGATCTCACAAAAAGTCCACTCCCACAAAGTTACTGTCACCGTTGCCACCTATGGAGGCACATATAGTTATGAAAAACAATGCACTCTTTCTGTTAGAATTATCTTCTGCCGCAAGTTTAGGACTGTCTTCTAAATCATTAACATTAGTTCGGCGGAATCCATTTGGAGGAATGCCAAGTGTTTTAGAACAGGGTGCAGCAGTTGACAATAACCCTTTCCCGATTGGTTCCTTCCAGTGTTTAGAAATGCTTGGAGTTCAACAAGCTTACAACAATATGATTGGAGAGGAATTTCTCTCCGAAGAAGACATTCGTGCTTTACAAAACGATGCTGAAGGTATTGGTATGGGACTAGTTGATGTTCCACAAGGAATTATGCGATCAATCACAATGAATGGTGGTTCTGATCTTCATGTAATAAAAAGAGAGAGAAAACGTTCAAAAGGTTCAAAAGATGGTGAAACTCGTGCCTTTCATAGATCTATATCTGTTGGTTTAACTTATCGTGATTGGAATAAACAAGAAGGTGAAGGTCTTACTGAAGGAAGAGTGATAATGACTCGAAAAAGGAACAATAGTAGTGGAAGTGAAGGTATTTATAAATTCTCTACTTTTATTTCCTATTACTTAACACTGAATATGCTATTAAATTTCAATTAGTGATAATTAATCACACTTTCAGTCTTACAGTGTAATTCAGTTTTGATATAAATACTTATAATTATTAATGTAGTCACTTTCAATTACATTCTTATGTTCAAATAAAATGAAACAAAATTTAAATTTTGTTGGATTTACAAAATACCAAATTACATAAGTAAATATAAATAAAAGTAATTATGATCCTAAAATCCAATAGATTAAGTAAATTTACATAAAAGACTGTGATTTTCAGGCTGTTAAAATACGAGAATTATATAAATTTAAATATAATTTAAAATATTTAAGTATATATATTATATATTGTGTTAAGTAGTTTATTTCTAGATTGTTAAGGTTTTTCCAAAATACAGATAGAAAGTTTATGTATTATGACAGTGTTTACTTACTTAATGTTTATGCATCTTCTACAACTGATTTACATGTGATGTGGCCCATGAGGATTTCAATAAAACTGTATAAGACTTTATCCAAATCTTTATTGAACAAAGGGAGTTGCTTCTCAAACATTTTCAAGAAATTCAAAGCTAAAAAAAATCCCAAGTGACTTTGACTAAGTTTTTGGAACCCTTTCATTGAAGACCACATACTCGATGATGCCATGCCTGACTTAGGGTGTGACTATGCAGACATGAATCTAGTAGCGAGTGAGAGGTTACAAGCAGTACAGTTCTCACAAAGGAAAACCATGCACAAGCAAGAAACCTCGCTGGCAAGAGCGAATTTCTAGTTCTCAAATATCTAACAGGATTTGATATTTATTACATTTCATCTCTTCTCACTTGAACACTGTGCATGAGTAGAAGATGACTTTTCTTATCTTTCATCTACTGTATATTTAAAAAGATTTTTATTTTCTTTTTCAAACTGTAGATATACATAATCATATAAATTCTGNTGGTGATTGGACATGGCAAAAGTGAAGAAATTTTGGTCTTTCTATGTATTTTTTATTAATATTGCCACCTCCATGGCTATATTTAGCAACTTTAAAAAATAATCATAAAAATTAAATAAGATAGTTGGCATGTTACAGCTTAAAAAATGTTTCGCACATTTTTTTAAGCCATAGGTTGTCATTAAATATAAGGTTGCTTTATGACAATTTAAAAAATTTTTATTATCCAGATATTCCAGAAAAAGCTTATTAAACTTACATTCACCAGTGCATCAATTTCATATAAATTTCATATATATATATAATTGTATTAATATTTTTTTATTTTGATATTTATACATCCAAATTTAAAAAATTCCAGGACCTGGTGTATACCATGTAGTCAAATGTGGTGCTTCTGGGCATAATATTCGAAGTAGACCTAGCTTGAAAGCTTCTCCTGTTGGCATGTTAGTTCTTGGCAACACAGTTAACATCATGAAAGATGTAAGTTAAAATTTATTTTATATTATTTGTTTTCTACCTTCATCTAAAAACTTCTTTAGCAGTAACCGAAATTCTTTAGCAATTGGTAGAGGTTTAGAAGAAAACTGTAACTGTTTTGGTCTAAACCTCTACCAATTGGTTATTTGTGATAATTATTTAATTTAGGACAATAAGTAAAAATAAGATTGTCTTGATTGTGATGAAAATTAAAGAATGTATATTAGGGATTAAATTTTTTTAATAGAGACTAAAGGTTTTAAGATTCATTACTTTTTAGTAAGTAAAGAGTTCTAAGAAGTCTATAAATTAATGATAAGATAGTACATTTGTTATGTTTAAGTGCTGAAATACAAATTTCATTTTGAAATTTCCTTATAGAGAGCCACATCTCTCATTACTGCATTACTGACACAGAAAGGATACTATATATTTTTGTATATTTCATTCATTCAATAACAATAAATGTTTTTTTTAAAAAGATTCTATATTTATAGATGTGTAATATGGACGGAACATGGGTGAAGTTAGATAAAGAAAGCATGCAAAGATACTGCTTTAATACAGATGGCGAAGCATGGTCTTTATCTCAGAGTAGAACTGATATTATTTATCTACAACATGAGGCTGAAATAATGCAAGCTGGAGATAGCGATGAAGAAAAGGGAAAAGTCTCTTCGAAATTTGGAATGGAAACTAATTTACCGGCAGAATCTCCCAACGTTCCATTTAATGCAACGTACGGAAATAATCGTGGTTATGATTTTGCAGCAGCTGCACAGCAGCAACCAATTTTTGGGCAGAATATAGGTAAGGTTTATAATTTTTATTGTATATTGTCAAGGATTCATCGTCATCAATTCTTTTCCGTAGATTTCAAGTGTCCGAACGATGTGGCTGTATGCAATACAAGAAGTATAACATTTTGTTATTTAGATTTCTAATTAAAATATAAAAATTGTATTATTATTTATTAACTTTTTATTTATTTAAATTATGATTAAATTATGATATTAAATTATGTTACAAGATGTTTTTATGTAATGAAAGAATTTAACTGATTTTTATTTAAAATATAAACTTTCATTTATTTTAAAGGGCATAAAATTTCTTGAATTTAAATTTTTATTATTTGGATTTATTAATTTAAAATTTAAAAATATCAAGGAAAAAAAGAATAATATAATATGTATATATATTATATTGTAGAGATGGTAGTCTGGCAGTGAAAATTGCTTAGTAATTATTTAGTCTTATACTCCAATAAAGAATCCAAATGTTCATTCGGTAATAGAAATTTAAATTTAATGGAAAATTTAATACGTAAATTTGACACTAACTTCATTCAAACTTATTGTAACTTGTAAAAGTACATTTTATTTGAATAAATCATTTCATAAACGAAATATTTTAAATTTTAAATTTTTAATTTTTATACTGATTTCTGAACACATTTAAAGTAGAATCAAATTTAATTATTTTATTTTAGGTATGTTTACATTTGGAAGTGGAACTTCTGATCAAGAAGGTGGTTCTTCAGGGTCTGCTAGCCCTTTTGTATTTGGTTCACCAGGTATGATATTTTAGAATAGATTATTATATCACTGAAACTAGTAAAGAATTGTTTAAAGGTAAATAATTAAATAGTATATGTTTAACTGATTTTTTAAAATTTTTATGATGTATCTTGAAAAAGAATAAATAAATAAATACAAAAGCATAAAATACAGCAGTTTATGAATAAAAGTATTGTGCTCATACTTAGTAAATACTATGAAACAGTAGAATCTCACTAATCTGGTGCTATTAAAAACCAGTAGGGCCAGATTACTGGAATGTAGGAGTAGGATTTGATAAATAAAACATGTACCATACTGTACATAATATGTGCAAGTTGTCATAACCTGTATTATTAAACTTTTTTTAATATACAGTTATTAGTTACAGGAAGAAACTATATACATTATTTTAATGTTACATTGTACTTTTGTATGCTATTATGAATTTGATATCAAATAATTGTTGCTTAGAAAATTAGTTTTGAATAGGTTTTCTCTTTGCAACCATTCTAGCCTTTAAATATTTTTTATCATATTCTTTGTGAAAGCATGGCTTCTTCAGCTGGAATTATATTCCATAACACTCACAAAAATGTCTTCTGCTAAATTCCACATTCTAATGTGACTTGGTATCATATTACTAGATGTGCCAGAGAAGTGAAGTGCTGGATTAGGGAGATTCTACTATATTCTATTGATTTTGATAAATATTATAAAACAACGTAATATAAAATAGAGATAAGGATATTAGAAGATTATTTCAAATAAATAAGCCTATAATACAAAGATACTATAATACATTTATTTTGCAGTAAATAACTTGTAATCTATTATTGTAATCTATTATTATATGTTATTACAGTGTCCTCTTCAGGTCTTTCTTTGCTAGGCTCCCTGCCAGATGATTTTTCTAGATGCCTGGCTGACACATGTTCTTCCACAAATCTGGCCTATTCTGGCAAACATTCTCTCTCAAACGCCCAAGTAATATTGTTTGTTGACTGTCCCTCTAGAAGAAATTTTGAGTGGAAAACACCACGACAGTCAATGAGAACATTCAACATGACTTTGATTTTTGAGCTACTTTGATGTGGTTTTTTCAGTTTTGACACATTCTTGAAGTGCTGTTCAGAAGCTTTTAGGCTGGTTTGCATGTTAAACTCATAAATCCACATCTTGTTACTTGCCATGATGCATTCCATGAATGTGGGATCTGAATTGGCTCATTCAAGCATGTCTTCAGCAATCTTTTTCCGGTGCTCTTTTTGAAGAAAATTTTGCTTCTTCAGAACAAGTTGTGCTGTGACACATCTCATGCCAAAAATGTCAACTAAAATGGTGCAAATGAATTTATGAGACATGTTTAGATTTTAAGCCATCTCTCTCAAGCTTGAATAACGATTTTCCATTACCATTTCCTTCACTTTGTCAATGTTTTTGTCTGTTTAAGATGTTGAGGTTGACCAGAACAAGGAAAGTCTTCCACCACTTCTCAGCCAACTTTAAATGCTGTGTTTTGGATAAAACTGATTCATTGTAGACCTTCCGAAACATTTTTAATGACTCAGCATAAGAAATTTCATTGGCATCACAAAACTTTAGACAAACTTTTTATTCAATATTTTTGTTCATTTTAAAAATTGCAGAGCACACTTCACATTCAATGACAAAAGCAACAGTTGTAAATGAACTGGTTGACATATTGCACTACAAATTCACATGACAATTAAGTACACTAGTATCAACATACAGAAAAAAGTTTGTTTTCATATCTTCTACATAGGCTTTTGAAACGGACAATTTCCGATATTTATTTGACAGAATGTATATAAAAGAAGCTTTGTTTTATGATAGGCTGAATGTGATAAACTACATATATTGAAAAATTTATACTTCAGATTTGTTAAGTATGAATGTAACTAGTATTAACACAATATATCACAAAATTAAATTTTCCATATTCAGTAATGAATTCAAAGTTTATAATAAATACATTTAAAAATTTATATGCAAAATCAAAGTAATGAGCACCATTGAATAATTTTCCTCAAAATCTGATGATTACAAACATCTGTGTTTGAAACAGGATTGAAACTCATAATCTGATGAACTAGAAACAATGCCCTAAACATTCTGTTGCTGAATCATTCAAATTAATTTTAAAAAAATCAAATTAATTTGTATTTATTTTAGAAATACTAGATTATTGTTTTAATTTATGACATTTTTAATCATATTTTAAAAATTTATTAATATAATAAAGGATATACCTTTTAGTTTCTACTCCATCGACTTCAATGAACACATTGGCAGAATCAGAAAAAACAGAAACGGATCGTTCCGAAAAAGATTCCTTGAGTAGTGGAGGAAGGGTAGCAGCATTACAAAAATGGTTGAAGGAAGAAAGTGTCCTAAGAAATACTGAACCTTTTCGTAATTCTTTACCTCGTGATATTCCACCTNTTGTGTTAAGTAGTTTATTTCTAGATTGTTAAGGTTTTTCCAAAATACAGATAGAAAGTTTATGTATTATGACAGTGTTTACTTACTTAATGTTTATGCATCTTCTACAACTGATTTACATGTGATGTGGCCCATGAGGATTTCAATAAAACTGTATAAGACTTTATCCAAATCTTTATTGAACAAAGGGAGTTGCTTCTCAAACATTTTCAAGAAATTCAAAGCTAAAAAAAATCCCAAGTGACTTGTGACTAAGTTTTTGGAACCCTTTCATTGAAGACCACATACTCGATGATGCCATGCCTGACTTAGGGTGTGACTATGCAGACATGAATCTAGTAGCGAGTGAGAGGTTACAAGCAGTACAGTTCTCACAAAGGAAAACCATGCACAAGCAAGAAATCTCGCTGGCAAGAGCGAATTTCTAGTTCTCAAATATCTAACAGGATTTGATATTTATTACATTTCACCTCTTCTCACTTGAACACTGTGCATGAGTAGAAGATGACTTTTCTTATCTTTCATCTACTATATATTTAAAAAGATTTTTGTTTTCTTTTTCAAACTGTAGATATACATAATCATATAAATTCTGTTTTATTAACAAATTATAATAAAATTCTTTATTCTTTCACAGTTTCCAGAGAGGAGGAATACTGCATTTTTGTTTTCTTTTTGTCTGTTTATTATGAAGTAATTCTAATAACAAAAGTTTTTTCTTTGCTAGTAGTAAGCATCATAGTCAAACTATTTTGATTTTTGCTTCCATACAGGTCAATAATTCATGCTTCTTTGTAATGAGTTTAACGTGAACATCATCATAGCCACTTTTTCCCATTTGCTGGCATTGGTGTAGTCATACTGTACTTAACAAGAATGAGAGATGTGCTCACCTTTTCTAGCCATGTATTCTCACTCACTTGCTCATTTATTGGCAAAGTCACTCACTTGTATCTGCATAGTCGCACCCTTATATCTGTGAGTTCATTGATTCGTGCCTAGATGAGTGAATTATTTTCAAATCAATGCAATTTTTACATAAAATAGTTCTAAATCATATGAATTCATATGTTTTATTAATTTTTTTCCTATTAAAAATGTACATTTCTTTTATCTTAAAAATTTATTTTTGGTTAAAAATAAATTTAGTTGCATTTTTTTATATTTGGGAATGCAAGAATATTATTAATTATTCGACATTTTAAACAATTAAATAGTTATAATAAATATTTTTTTAAATTTATCTATTTGGATGGATGTTAAAATTTCACATTAATGAATTAAAATTGAAGACAAAAGAAAGGTCAGGTCATCGTGGAATGTATTCCAGAACATGAAAATGAATAAAAGGTGACTGTTTTGACAGACTTTGCTACAGTTTTAAATAATTAATAAGAAATTTTACCATCAGTCTAAATTTTATAAATTTGTATTACCTGTGAATAGACATGATTGGGAACTTTTTCTACTCTTCATTTTTTATTTTTTTTGTTTGTAAAATGCATTATGAAAAATTGATGTTTCTGTACTCAGGCTATCCCTCTTCCATTTCTTTTTATTTATTTTATTGTATAATGATTTGCTTTTTTGTATTAAACTTCAAAATCTGTTTTACTTTGAAAATTTGAGGAGGGTTAGAAATTTTTTGTCAGGAGTTTTATCTGTGTCGTTATTCATATTTTAAAGTAGAGAATTTCAGAATATAGAAGAGATATGGACCATAGGAGATATATAACATAAACTTGGCAGCCTTCAGTCTAATCAATGATTGTTATATGATTTGAGACTTGGTGGGTCTCTTAAAACCAATAGGTAATGCTGTAAAAATTTTCTTTACATGAAACTATAAATAATTTTTTAATTTACCTACAATTATTCAACTTAGTTAACACATTATTCAGATTAAGAATATGTCTGTATGCATTAAAATAATTTTCACTAATATCTTAATCTGAAAAATTTTTAATCCTTTCAAGTATTTTGTGATTTTAATTGTTTTAAATTGGCATGTGAAAAGTATCTTTATAATGATCACTGATGTTATTTTATTGATTATTTTTTTATCATGTGTATTTTATTTTTGGGAGTTGTTATAGGTGCTTATATACAGCAACTATAACATAGTTGCTATATATGGAGGCAAACATCACTTGTCTTCTTTGTCATTACTATGTACTTTTGTAAAGAAATAAATATTTGTATTATAAACTTACTTAAAATACCCAACCTCCAGCAGTAACTTATAATATTAGCATTACAATGAACGTTTTTGGAGTTTGTATACTTCCATCTTCAGGTTCTGCAGTCTTTCGAACATAGAACAAGGTTTTTGATGGATATATGATAATGTTTGTATCCAACATATTTTTAATTTCTAAAATTCGAACTTCACTGTTTAAAATTTAGCACTTATATGTTACTATTGGTCGGTTAGTGTTAATGATGTGTTTGTTCTTGCAGTGTTATTTTTTGTATCTTGTATAAAGCTTCTCATGCCTGGTCCAATGAGTTGCTGTCTTTATAGTTTGATGGCTGTTTGCAACTCTTTGGCCCAGGCATGAAGAGCTTTATATGAGATATAAAAAATAACACTGCAAGAACAAACACATCATTAACACTAACCGACCAATAGTAACATATAAGTGCTAAATTTTAAACAGTCCAACATGCGAAGTTCGAATTTTAGAAATTAAAAATATGTTCGATACAAACGTCATCATATATCCATCAAAAACCTTGTTCTATGTTTGAAAGACTGCAGAACCTGAAGATGGGGTATAAGAACTTCAAAAACATTCATTCTAGTGCTAATATGGGTATTTTAAGTATGTAGATTGTTTTTCCAGTTAAATAGCAGTTATTTATATATTTTTACTATATAATGTTATNTTAGGTGGTGTGATATTATCATCATCGTCATCATCTCCCCCTGTAAGTGGTTCTCCCAAAAATGTTTTATCTCATGCTGCTTCGGTTCAAGAAACCTGGGGAAATTCTCCTCCAACAGTTTCACCTAAAACTTCTGGATTGCTTAGAAGAAGCTCTTTACAAAGGTGATTTTTATTTGTATATTTGTGTATATTAAAAATAAATCTAGAATTATTTCATGATTACTGAATTAATTCTTTACTTATTAAAATATTTTAGGAGAAAAATTTGGTTGTTAAATCAACTGATTATAATTATAAGTTTTTTTAAATATTTTCTTGGATTTTATATGTATATTACTACAATTTATATCAAATACAGCAATAAATATTCTAGAAGAACTTTGGCTTGAAGTTGGGTAATATAAGTAGCAATTCATACAAAATTGCACAGGCAAAAGTTTACACATTGAATTCAAATCTAGATTTTCACAGATAAATTTAGTGAAACATTATTTCAAATTTATAAATTACTAATTTTATTGATATATTGTCTGTAGCGAAATTTTCTACTCATTAATTAAGTTAATTAGCCCAAAAATTTTCACCTTATTATTCTAAGTTCTAAATATACTTTCTGAAGTAATGAAGAAGCAGCTATTGCTCAAACAGGTAAACAATAATCTTTCATGGATTGAAAATTTGCAAGAAATATTGCATGAAGGGATGATAGGAAATGGGCAGCGGTGATGCCATAAAACACCTTCGAAAATTGATATTTTAACAGAAAGAATACAAATATTAAATGTAAATTTTTTATTGAATGGGATGCCAAGATTGTTAAGTATATAATAATTTTTAAAAATGCTATTAATATAAAAATTCAGGTGATCTTGATTATGTAGGAGAGAGAGAGAGACATTTATTCAGAGCAATTTTACACATGAAACAGTTTTGTTTACAATAATTTTAATATTTTAAGATCATCAGCATATGATGTAATCTCTGAATCAGTAAAAGAGATAGCAGCATCAAGATAAGCAATAAAGAAGAGATTACTTAATATGAATCCTTTGAATGTTCTATAAAGGGTAGAAAAATCGGAATATTATAGTTGCACTGTTTTACTGAAAATGACTGTAGCAGGAAATACTTGTTAAATGATATAATTAATGCATAACATATAATATATTTTATTCATATTGTATCTAACAGATTTTTTTTCTTTAACAGTGATACCAGTGTTAGTTCTCATTTTAGCAGTATTTTAAAAGAATTATCACAAAGTTCAGCAACTGGATGCATAGGTTGTATTACACAGAGGAATACAATAAGTCCAATTAGTACTCCAGGAACTCCAGGGACTCCGTGTACTCCCGGAACTCCCAAAAAGGTGAAATTAATGTTGATTAATTTTTTATTAAAAATTCTAACGTTAATTAAATTAATATTCTAATGTAACAATAATGAATTAGGTTTACAATGAAACTGTGTATTGAAATCACATTAAAAAAGAAATTATATTTTAACTAAATAATAGTTTTTAGATAATAAAACATTTGAGTGTTAAGAAATGTTTTTATTAACTTTTTCGTAGGAAGAAAATGCTCAACAGTTTTTTGGTGATAAAATATTTTAAGTAAGAGATTTGATCTGTTACTTAAAATATAATAGTTTGTCAGTTTATATTATTTTTTAATTATTTCTATTGATAAAATTTTTCTTAACTTCAATGAACAGTAAACATATAAAGTTCATTTATCTCCTAACTCACCTGATAATTTTCATTTCAGTATCCATAAGATGTTTCTAAAGTCTTCGACCAAAATACTTTCACACACATTTTGAAAATGTTAAGAAAAGAAATTTAATGATTAATCAGTGGTTCGTAATTTTTTTAGACTCATGGCATACATTTACAATCATAAAGATTACAGCACACCTTATTATTAAATATGAGGACTGGCCAACAAAATATTGGAATGTTATTTGTGCAGCTAGTGATACATGATACTAATATATGGATGGTCACACTAGCAGGATGATTCTCCAGACTGTGGTTTTCTTGTCCATTTTTTTTATTATTGATTTTTAACACACAACTGTCTCTTTACCTGTATGTTTTATCAAGCCTATTCATGAGTTATATTAGCCCAAATGGTGCTATTCATGGATTTATAGCTAACTATAGCAAAAATATGATTGCTAGGTTAGCTAAAAATGTGGAGATTAACATTAATGGATCATGGCTTAATAATGATATACAGTGTTTAGAAGTTTTATCTCAAAAATTTATAGCTGTGGACTATGACCCAAGGCTGACTTCCACACACAAAACTTCAACAATGCATATGAATGCCAGAATAGTTTATAGATGTAATCCAATTATTTTTAGGCTACCAGCTAATGGTAAAGATTCTATAGACAGAAAATTAGCTTCTAGAGTATACACTATCTCAGTGTGGGATGATAGGTTTGGTTAAAGGACCATACATAGCATTACTAAAAGGTCATTAATAAAAGGCTCGGGGAGCATAAACACAATGTTTGTACAAATAGTCCACAGTTGCCCAGTTTGCGAGCGAGCTGGGGCTGTCAGCATGTTGGGACCAGGCTAAATTATTTAAGAAAGTGTTGTTTGACGTCAACAAATTAAGATCAATGGAAGCTTTTGAAATATTTCAAGCATCTAGAAAGCATGAATGCATTAATTTCAATGAGAAAGAATTGTTATCCAAAGCATGGCAGTCTCTAGTTGATAACGTGATGAAGCAAGAGAACAACATAGGTTCAACTTAAATTTCTATTAATAATGTGTGTCATTTATTTAATTTTATTTTCATTTTAATATTTTTAAAATACACAAATTGTTTGTTTTTGAATTTAGTAAATTTAAAAAAGCAGTTATAGTTCTACCATTAGAATTCAGTTCTTTTCGTCAATTTGTATTTTAATATGTTTTTAACCTGAGGCAGACCTCTGAACATTTGTTTTTATTAAACTAGTGCTAGAGAAGTGTTTAAGGTGTAGTGCGATTTCTAAACTTTCATATTGTTTAATATTAAAAAATAATAATTATTTTTATAAATAGTTATAGCAATTTTTATTTATTTCTATTTTTAGGAAATGAATCCAAATGCAAAGTCAGTAACACAAACTGGCACTCAAACAAGTCCTGATGGTGTAAAAGGCCATTTTAATATTGGAACTGCTGGTAGTAAAGACGAATCACCTAGAGTCTCTCCTAAACTCTCACGAAAGGAACGATCGTCTCGACAGTTTCGTAACAAAAGAGAAAGAGCGCAGTCTCCTGCACCCATATCTCATGACAAAAGTATGAAAGATAAACATTCTTCAAAAGAAAGTATTAAAGAAGCTATGTCGCCTTCGGTTGCAGAATGTTTACGTGCTGTATTTGCTGCATTTTTATGGCATGAAGGAATTGTGCATGATGCAATGGCTTGTGCTTCTTTTTTAAAATTTAATCCTCATCTTTTAAAACAAAGTACAAAATCTCATGCAAAAATTCGAGAAAAATCTGAAACGTCGCAGTTAACAAAAGAACAGAAAGCACGGTTAAGGTACTCTGTTGAGGTATCATCACCCATTTTGTTAAATATACCACCATCTTCACTAGAGCCAGTAACTTCCCCATTAATAAATGCAAATATTAATAAAAACAAATTGAGAAAGACTACTTTACCTATTAGAGAAGAAAGTATGAATGATACTATGTCTTCTAAAGATGTTCATTCACATGTAAAGTCTAACGATTTAAGTTATTTACAAACTCATAAAAGTAACGAAAAATCCTTATTACCTCAGTCTCTTCAGCATTTAGTAATTCTCTGGGAACAAATTTCGGCTGCTTCATTAAGAGCAATTGTCCAACAACTTATATTACCTAGTCCTGTTACTGAAAGTAAAGTATTTCAAAGATTAGAAAAAGAAAGAAGTGAAAGGGAGAAGGAAAAAAAGCAAAAAAAGAAAAAGGAATACAGACCAGTTCTTTCCTCGAGAGGAAACTTGTTTGGAGATGCAGCTAGTGGATCATTGGGTGGTTTGGAAAGAGAAACAATGTGTGAATTATGTGGCATCTTTTATCCTCATCCTGTCACTTATCATATGCGCCAGGCCCATCCTGGTTGTGGTGATCATGCTGGTGGAAAAGGATATAACAGTGGTGGTAATTTTTGTGGTGGGTGGGCTGGAAATTGTGGTGATGGTGGTATTGGGGGAAGTAGCTGGTATTTAATTTGTGATAGATGTAGGGAAAAATATTTACGTCAGAAAAGACAAGTTATGATGAAGGAAAAAGTCAGAAGATCTCACAAAAAGTCCACTCCCACAAAGTTACTGTCACCGTTGCCACCTATGGAGGCACATATAGTTATGAAAAACAATGCACTCTTTCTGTTAGAATTATCTTCTGCCGCAAGTTTAGGACTGTCTTCTAAATCATTAACATTAGTTCGGCGGAATCCATTTGGAGGAATGCCAAGTGTTTTAGAACAGGGTGCAGCAGTTGACAATAACCCTTTCCCGATTGGTTCCTTCCAGTGTTTAGAAATGCTTGGAGTTCAACAAGCTTACAACAATATGATTGGAGAGGAATTTCTCTCCGAAGAAGACATTCGTGCTTTACAAAACGATGCTGAAGGTATTGGTATGGGACTAGTTGATGTTCCACAAGGAATTATGCGATCAATCACAATGAATGGTGGTTCTGATCTTCATGTAATAAAAAGAGAGAGAAAACGTTCAAAAGGTTCAAAAGATGGTGAAACTCGTGCCTTTCATAGATCTATATCTGTTGGTTTAACTTATCGTGATTGGAATAAACAAGAAGGTGAAGGTCTTACTGAAGGAAGAGTGATAATGACTCGAAAAAGGAACAATAGTAGTGGAAGTGAAGGTATTTATAAATTCTCTACTTTTATTTCCTATTACTTAACACTGAATATGCTATTAAATTTCAATTAGTGATAATTAATCACACTTTCAGTCTTACAGTGTAATTCAGTTTTGATATAAATACTTATAATTATTAATGTAGTCACTTTCAATTACATTCTTATGTTCAAATAAAATGAAACAAAATTTAAATTTTGTTGGATTTACAAAATACCAAATTACATAAGTAAATATAAATAAAAGTAATTATGATCCTAAAATCCAATAGATTAAGTAAATTTACATAAAAGACTGTGATTTTCAGGCTGTTAAAATACGAGAATTATATAAATTTAAATATAATTTAAAATATTTAAGTATATATATTATATATTGTGTTAAGTAGTTTATTTCTAGATTGTTAAGGTTTTTCCAAAATACAGATAGAAAGTTTATGTATTATGACAGTGTTTACTTACTTAATGTTTATGCATCTTCTACAACTGATTTACATGTGATGTGGCCCATGAGGATTTCAATAAAACTGTATAAGACTTTATCCAAATCTTTATTGAACAAAGGGAGTTGCTTCTCAAACATTTTCAAGAAATTCAAAGCTAAAAAAAATCCCAAGTGACTTGTGACTAAGTTTTTGGAACCCTTTCATTGAAGACCACATACTCGATGATGCCATGCCTGACTTAGGGTGTGACTATGCAGACATGAATCTAGTAGCGAGTGAGAGGTTACAAGCAGTACAGTTCTCACAAAGGAAAACCATGCACAAGCAAGAAATCTCGCTGGCAAGAGCGAATTTCTAGTTCTCAAATATCTAACAGGATTTGATATTTATTACATTTCACCTCTTCTCACTTGAACACTGTGCATGAGTAGAAGATGACTTTTCTTATCTTTCATCTACTATATATTTAAAAAGATTTTTGTTTTCTTTTTCAAACTGTAGATATACATAATCATATAAATTCTGTTTTATTAACAAATTATAATAAAATTCTTTATTCTTTCACAGTTTCCAGAGAGGAGGAATACTGCATTTTTGTTTTCTTTTTGTCTGTTTATTATGAAGTAATTCTAATAACAAAAGTTTTTTCTTTGCTAGTAGTAAGCATCATAGTCAAACTATTTTGATTTTTGCTTCCATACAGGTCAATAATTCATGCTTCTTTGTAATGAGTTTAACGTGAACATCATCATAGCCACTTTTTCCCATTTGCTGGCATTGGTGTAGTCATACTGTACTTAACAAGAATGAGAGATGTGCTCACCTTTTCTAGCCATGTATTCTCACTCACTTGCTCATTTATTGGCAAAGTCACTCACTTGTATCTGCATAGTCGCACCCTTATATCTGTGAGTTCATTGATTCGTGCCTAGATGAGTGAATTATTTTCAAATCAATGCAATTTTTACATAAAATAGTTCTAAATCATATGAATTCATATGTTTTATTAATTTTTTTCCTATTAAAAATGTACATTTCTTTTATCTTAAAAATTTATTTTTGGTTAAAAATAAATTTAGTTGCATTTTTTTATATTTGGGAATGCAAGAATATTATTAATTATTCGACATTTTAAACAATTAAATAGTTATAATAAATATTTTTTTAAATTTATCTATTTGGATGGATGTTAAAATTTCACATTAATGAATTAAAATTGAAGACAAAAGAAAGGTCAGGTCATCGTGGAATGTATTCCAGAACATGAAAGTGAATAAAAGGTGACTGTTTTGACAGACTTTGCTACAGTTTTAAATAATTAATAAGAAATTTTACCATCAGTCTAAATTTTATAAATTTGCATTACCTGTGAATAGACATGATTGGGAACTTTTTCTACTCTTCATTTTTTATTTTTTTGTTTGTAAAATGCATTATGAAAAATTGATGTTTCTGTACTCAGGCTATCCCTCTTCCATTTCTTGTTATTTTTTTTATTGTATAATGATTTGCTTTTTTGTAATAAACTTCAAAATCTGTTTTACTTTGAAAATTTGAAGAGGGTTAGAAATATTTTGTCAGGAGTTTTATCTGTGTCGTTATTCATATTTTAAAGTAGAGAATTTCAGAATATAGAAGAGATGTGGACCATAGGAGATATATAACATAAACTTGGCAGCTTTCAGTCTAATCAATGATTGTTATATGATTTGAGACTTGGTGGGTCTCTTAAAACCAATAGGTAATTCTGTAAAAATTTTCTTTACATGAAACTATAAATAATTTTTTAATTTACCTACAATTATTCAACTTAGTTAACACATTATTCAGATTAAGAATATGTCTCTATGCATTAAAATAATTTTCACTAATATCTTAATCTGAAAAATTTTTAATACTTTCAAGTATTTTGTGATTTTAATTGTTTTAAATTGGCATGTGAAAAGTATCTTTATAATGAACACTGATGTTATTTTATTGATTATTTTTTTATCATGTGTATTTTATTTTTGGGAGTTGTTATAGGTGCTTATATACAGCAACTATAACATAGTTGCTATATATGGAGGCAAACATCACTTGTCTTCTTTGTCATTACTATGTACTTTTGTAAAGAAATAAATATTTGTATTATAAACTTACTTAAAATACCCAACCTCCAGCAGTAACTCATAATATTTGCATTACAATGAACGTTTTTGGAGTTTGTATACCTCCATCTTCAGATTCTGCAGTCTTTCGTACATAGAACAAGGTTTTTGATGGATGTATGATGACGTTTGTATCCAACATATTTTTAATTTCTAAAATTCAAACTTTGCATGTTGGACTGTTTAAAATTTAGCACATATGTTACTATTGGTCGGTTGGTGTTAATGATGTGTTTGTTCTTGCAGTGTTATTTTTTGTATCTTGTGTAAAGCTGCTCATGCCTGGTCCAATGAGTTGCTGTCTTTATAGTTGATGACTGTTTGTAGCTCTGGTCCAGGCATGAAGAGCTTTATACAAGATACAAAAAATTACACTGCAAGAACAAACACATCATTAACACTAACTGACCAATAGTAACATATAAGTGCTAAATTTTAAACAGTCCAACATGCAAAGTTCAACTTTTAGAAATTAAAAATACGTTGGATACAAACGTCATCATATATCCATCAAAAACATTGTTCTATGTTTGAAAGACTGCAGAACCTGAAGATGGGGTATAAGAACTTCAAAAACATTCATTCTAGTGCTAATATGGGTATTTTAAGTATGTAGATTGTTTTTCCAGTTAAATAGCAGTTATTTATATATTTTTACTATATAATGTTATATCANATAATATTTGCATTACAATGAACGTTTTTGGAGTTTGTATACTTCCATCTTCAGGTTCTGCAGTCTTTCGAACATAGAACAAGGTTTTTGATGGATATATGATAATGTTTGTATCCAACATATTTTTAATTTCTAAAATTCGAACTTCACTGTTTAAAATTTAGCACTTATATGTTACTATTGGTCGGTTAGTGTTAATGATGTGTTTGTTCTTGCAGTGTTATTTTTTGTATCTTGTATAAAGCTTCTCATGCCTGGTCCAATGAGTTGCTGTCTTTATAGTTTGATGGCTGTTTGCAACTCTTTGGCCCAGGCATGAAGAGCTTTATATGAGATATAAAAAATAACACTGCAAGAACAAACACATCATTAACACTAACCGACCAATAGTAACATATAAGTGCTAAATTTTAAACAGTCCAACATGCGAAGTTCGAATTTTAGAAATTAAAAATATGTTCGATACAAACGTCATCATATATCCATCAAAAACCTTGTTCTATGTTTGAAAGACTGCAGAACCTGAAGATGGGGTATAAGAACTTCAAAAACATTCATTCTAGTGCTAATATGGGTATTTTAAGTATGTTGATTGTTTTTCCAGTTAAATAGCAGTTATTTATATATTTTTACTATATAATGTTATATCAGATCCAGATCTGCATATACATGCTAGACACTTCTGGCAGTCCTTCTTGTTTTCTTTTCTTCTAAAAATACATTTTTGCATGCTTTCTAGAGACTTTCAGTAACCCACCATCTGTAAATAAACAAGAAATAAATGTATCTGTTAACCAGGGCTGTGGAGTCAGAGTCGTGGAGTTTTGGTGTTTTAGCCAGAGTTGGATTGGTAAGGAAAAGTCGGAGTTGGAGTCAGTAGATTTTTACGTGACTCCACAGCCCTGCTGTTAACATAAATTAAATGCTTTTCCTTTTTTTATAAAATACATAAATTAGTGTGTATATAGTTTGTCAGTTTAGTCTATTTTGCAACCAAAGACCAAGTTGAAATATATTTAAATTTAAACTATGTTCGAAAAGAACCTTTATAAAGAATTCTTCTTAATGTTTGAAGCTTTTAAGTGATGAAACCTAATTAGTTTAGACAAAAGTGTTTTTGAGTGTAGTTCTTATTAAAGATAATTTATTCCATTTAACATTGCAAGTGATTTTTTTAGTATCACATACAAATAGTCTTGTAATTTAGTAATACTTTGGTATTTTTGAATTCTGTTCTTATTGTGTTTGTTTTTACAAAACAAAACTATATTTAAAACTGCAGTGTGTTGTAAAATAAAATACACAACAATTTTGTTTTTTAGCACAGACATATATTAAGTGGACAAAGTATCTACTTAATATACTTAATTTACTTGCATTAATAATTAATAACTATAGTCATAAAATATGTTTTATTTTTATTTATAACTAATTTTTATGTTTTAAAATGAATTTACATAAAATATTTATAAAAACAGTCTTCTTTTCAATATAGTGCATTTTGTTTAATTGGACCATGTCAGGGAATAGATCATTTGGCCCAATTAAGCGACTAGCCAATTATGCAGACATTATGCTGATGAACTGAAAAAAAAGACACTATTTTCCACAGTAGCCTAATGCAGTGTTTTTCAATTGCCACTCCATGAAAAAATTTCACTGGTCTGCAGAAAAATATTCAACCGTACTGAAGCTGACATTGATTATGGATGACATTTAAATAGTAATCTAGAGTTACTGTATGTAACAAAGTATTTAGATAAGCATAATTCAGTCACTTATAATTACCTGATCCATATAAAAATTAACCTTAATTTTACTGGTCTGCAATGAGAAAAAGGTTAAAAAACATTGGTGTAATGAATGAGCATAATAATTTATAAAACAAAAAGAGACATTTACTAAAACATAAATTAATTTTATTTTTATAAAAAAGACAGGATACTTATTTTTACTAAACCTTTGAGAAAAACTGGAAATAAAGTTGTGCAAGCATGAGGTAAGAACACACTGCACCTGCCTAAAACAAGACATAATGTGGTGTGGTTATGTTAAAAGTTTTCAATAGACCAAACTGGCAATAAGTAGCCCGACTTGGTAATCTTGATTGTCTATCACTAGGAATATGTCTAGGTAGCCAGCAGCTAAATATGTGAATCAATGGTAGAATCTGTTACACAAGAAACAATTATGCCATTTGTTTTTTTTGCTTGACTGCTTGGCACAGTTTGTTACAGGAAGCTGCTTTAGATAAATGGACCAGATCAAGCAGACACCAAAATTGCTTTATCTCTGTTTCAACCTAACTTAGATCAAAATTAATATCAAAAAAACTTTAAATCCAGTAAAAAAGAACATTTATTAATGGAAGGAATGTTTTCAACCATGTACAATGACCATCTTCAGGTTCTAAAATAGAATTAATGAATAGAACAGCAAGCATAGTTGAAATTAAAAACATTCAAAAATTACAAGTTTACATAGTGAGTCACATTTATATATATATACACAAATGTATACAAATATTTTTATGTTATTTCTAAAATATATACACAATATTGGTATATATTGCTTTATATTATATAATGCATTAAATACATTAGTTTGATACTGTTTTCTACATTTTGGCCCAAATAAATGGCTTTCCCCAGTTAGCCAGTGTCCCAATTAAGCAGAATATACTGTATTTTAATTTATATTGTTCATTATAAAATATATCTTAGTATAAAATGACATTTTTGTTTTAGATAACAGTAGTTCATTTCTATGTCAACCTTCTGCTGCTCTTACTAAACTTGTTGCATCTGCTACTGAAAGACCAGGGGCTGTTGTAGAATTTCTTCTACAAAGGCCTGTTATGTTATTTATTCTTCAAAGGCATGATCTGGGTAGTTTACAGCTGGCTATGAAGCAGGCATTAAGGAAAGCCTCTTGTAGAGTTTATGCAATGCAGGTATTTGATAATTCTACTTTACATAATGTTTTATAATTTATATTGATGTTTTATCTAATTTAGACTAAGTTTGATTATTACTGATTTTATGTGATATTGGAAATTAGGTTAAAATTATTTTTAAGTACCATATGGTCAAACCTTGATATAGTGCCCTTCTGTATAGCATTATCCTCATAGAGTGCCAATGAATACTTAGAAATGACTTTAAGATGTTTGTCTGTATATAAATTTTATATTATTAAATATGTAATTTCACAATTTTTAAAATGATTTCGGAATTGTGATATAAATATTCTTCCAATTTAATTTTCATATAACGATAATGTGAGAAAAATAAATGACATTTTTATAACGAAAAGTGTATAAAATTTTCTTTAATTTCATAATTTAGTTGTGTTATTTATTACCAACATTTTTTCTTTTTCATTGCTATATTACCATTTAATGTTTAAATTGATTAAAATTATTACAAAAACATTTTTTTAAATCTTAAAGGCTTTAAATTGGTTACTACGAAGTGTTACGCAACCTACTTCATTACACGATTTACTGTGGTGTCTAGTAGCTGCTCTTGCTCCTTCTCCAATAGAATGTACAGAAGAAAATGAGGGTGAAGTAGATCAGGGTGAAAAAAAAGAACACGATGGAATTGTAAGTAAATAAACAAATCCTTAGTTATAAAATCAAAATTAAATATTTTGTATTTATAAGTTGTAAAGTTTTTCTGTGTATTTGATAAATTATTGTTATGAATGTAAACAAGTTATAGAAGTTTATATTTTTAACTTTTTCTCTATTTCAAAAATGCAAAACTTTATTATTGAATAAATTCAATAATAAAGTTTTGCATTTTTTATTTTATTTATTTAAAAAGTATAAATATTTCTAATTAAAGAAATAAATTAGGTAAAAATTATATAAATTATTAAAGAGAATAAATATTCAGTATTAAAATTATACAAGCACACCTTTTATACTTTTCCAGCAATAACTTTAATCACAGAACAAATGTTTTTGGCCCAATTTACAAGCCTACTTCAAGTTAGAAGCCATTCCAAAGATGAAAGAATTATATTGATTTCTACAGTGGAATAATTTGAATATTCTATGGCGTTATTTAAAATTTATATATTGCAATTTGGTATTTATGTTGCAGAATTGTTCCATTTTAGAACATTTTATATCTTTGGAAAGGCTTCTAACCTGAAGCAGGCTTGTAAATTGGGCCAAAAACATTTGTTCTTGATTAAAATTATTGCTGGAAAAGTACAAAACATGGATTTGTGTGATTTTTCAAGAAATTCCAGCTTTTAAAGGATATTTATATTCAGTATTACTTTATTATTCATACCTAAAATATTTATTTATTTTCATAATTGCATTTTTATAGATGGTAAAAACTAACATAAAATTATTTTTACATAATTACTTTTCATATTAAATCAACCATTTATTTTAAATAAACAAAAAAAAACTCATTATTGTACATTGAACATCCATGTAATGAACTCCTCTATAATGCAAATTTGTATAATGCAATGCAAAATTGTGATTAGTACTCATACAAAATTCTAATCTTATCATGTATGTTTTCTTTGTCAACTTTTAGACCTAGGTTTAAACTTGAATAAAATTTCTGATAATGAATGCTTTGATAAAACAATTTCTTATAACACAATATATTCTCCACATTGTATTAGATTCTGCTGTGTATGAATAATTATCATCATTATATGTAAAGCAAAATTTTTCCTATTGTAATTGAAAATAAATAAGCAAATGTATTTATACCAAGATTTGTCATAAATTTGATGATCCTAGCTTAATACGTGATTATTTAGACTTTGAGAACATCTCTCAAAGCCTAAATTATTATCTATTATGCTAATTAAAATCAATTAAAATAAAGATTCAAAAAATTAATTCAAACTGATGTGCTTAATCGATTGCTTTTATATCAGATGATATAAATTGAGGGAACATTCATAAATCACATAGTTTGATTGAAGTGAATAGGGCCAAGTTTGTGAATGTCATTGACTACTACGATAAGGGGAGGTGGTCTGGTGATGTAGACTAGCCTGTTTTTAAAAGTCGTTTTGAGTTACAGTGTAGCCTATTATCTGTGAAAGTGTGTTATAATAGTGACTATAGTTTGTGAGAAAATTTGGCCATTGATTAACTCAAGGTTACGTGAAGTATTACAAAAGAAATGCAAAATGTTTGGCTGCTTTTTCTCACTCATTGATAGTTTTTTATAAATGGCTGTGGAATAAAAGAGCAGACATAGTGCTTTTGGATATACGAGTATTGCTCAAAATCAACAAATGTGAGCTGAAAGAAAAAACCATAACCTACAGCACCTGCAGCTAAGAGACTTTTTAAATGCATGAAATTTTTTTAATATTGCTAGTGAAAAAATTCAGCTACATTCAATCACTAATACTTCTTTATACATTTTCATATACTACTATTACTATTATTTGAAACATATACAATGTATCTCCAATTTTTCAAATAATTGAAAATGAATAAAATTTTTAAAAAATTAGAAAGCTGTAAAAGAAAATATAAAATTTATGATTAGTGATTTTGCTAAATTGCAGTCATTAAGCTTTTTTATATATTTTTAATCTGTTCAAGTAATTAATGTAATTGAATATTTTTTGAATATAGATCAAAGACTGTTTAAATTATAAGAAACTTTGTTATTCACTTTTCTTTATGAAAGCAAAATTAATATAAATATTTCTCTTACAGTATATTACTTTAACCCTCAAATATATATTATATAGTATTTATTTATATTAAGAAATTTGTTTTATTAGTTAGTTATATAGTGTATTTAAAGTTAAGATATACAAGGTGTCATGTAACTGGTAGTACAAGCAGGAAGGTGTTGATTCTATATGAAATACTGAATTGAATATAGAATAAAATTTTTTCACATGCGGCATTGTTTCTGATAAACGTGGCTTTGAAAGTTTATTGAGTACATGTGCATTTGATTAAGATACAACACACCAGATGTTGTATGCTGTCTTTACTGTCAGGTGTTTTGAAACATTGCTTTGTTACTTGATTTTGTGAACACTGTTGATGATGATATTTTTTTGTTTATTTTTGTATTATTGTTACTCTTCTCTTACAGTTATCAAATTGAACTCTTAGTTTCTGTCATAGTGCCAATGTGATAATGCATGAAGCACTCCCTATATTTCCACACCACTTGACCGAAAGGTTGATGTCATGTCAGCAATGATTACGTCATGATGGAAGACACCACACAGCTGCTAGGGCTGTTAAGTTTGTATTAGATCATGCGAACAGTCATGTGTGTAGGATTCAGGATGGAGGATCTAAGAGATAGCGTAGTGGAAGAAAAGCACTCGGATACAAGTTAAGCAAAACAAATAGCCATTTATTAAACACACAGAATTTTACACTAACAATTATAGTGAGTCGTTAGAGTTTTAGAAGACCTGAACGCAAGAGAGAGTTCACAATAAACCATGAGTTGCTAAATATCTTGTAGGGGAGTTTCTAAGGGTCTGATGCTCGTTGACTGGAGTATCATATGTTGACTTGATTGTTTTGTTGATTGGATCATTTAGAGAAAGTGCTTGTCCATCCTTAGTCCATCCTTGAAATGTGTAACAGTGGATGAGGAGTATCCACAGGCAAAATATCTGTTAGTGAAGTAGGCGATATCCAGGAACGACTAGACTGTTGGAGGAACAGGTGATGACTGTTTTGAATTGGCCGTTTGTTGGTAATTTAAAACAGCAACATAACTCGGGAGGTCAAAAATTTGTGGGAAAAGTGTCTTTCCTGACACTGAGAAAGTGAGAAGGGAAACTCTCTCAGGTCATACATTAGCTACATCTTGGCATTGTTTCTCCTCTTTTTTTGAAGTATCTTTTCTTTATTTAATTCGGGTTCTCACACCAATATAACTATGTACGGCAATTGAGAGTGTACTGATATGATTCTTGTGTTGGGTGCATGTGGTAGTAATGCTTTTGTTGCAGCTAATTATAACAAAGACCAATATCCTATTTGCCAACATCCCATTAGGAGAGTAATTCAGAGAGCAAAATAAACTCAGAGATCATGGTTCTTTTGAACCACTTCGTCAACATGGAGATTGCATCTGATGTGTTAACTGTACTAGTTTTCAAGCTACTAAAATCTCATGCATTTGATAAACATCCAAAGTCATTTTTTTCAGAAAAAAAAACCTTGTATTTTTAGAAAAAATTTTGTTTTATGTTTTTGATTCAGTATTTCATGTAGAATCACCATATTTCCACTTGTACTACCAGTTACCCAAAACTCTGTATAAAATACTATAATTTAAATATACAAACATAAATCAGAGCCTAACATTCGATTAGCCAGTCTGAAAGATCTGCCAGATTATTTGCAGGCTATAACTGTGCTTAATTGTTAAGTAAACAAATTATATAATTCAATAATCACCATCGTTATAACCTGTAAATAATCCAGTTTTAAGTCTTTAGTTAATACTGTAATTTAATTTGACATAAATAATAAACTGGATAGATGTAAATTATAATATTTTAATTTAAAAAAATTATAGTATTTTATGTTGTTATTTAATGATGAAACTAGCGTTAATATGCATTTGTTATTATGTAAAATATTTATTTATTAATATATTACTTATATTTTTATATTTAATTATTATTGGCATTGGTGTAGTCATA